TCTGTCACCTGTGTTAGACCCTACGTTTACCACGGGGTCCCCACTGCCTAATGTGAAGCTTGGCACATAGTCGCAGTTAATTATTTGTTGACTATGCAAATTTGGCAAAGTCTAGCACCTGTTTAGGGGTTGCTTTCCAGAGCTCCTCAAAGGCCACCAGAGCAGCGGGAGAGCTGTCCCTTCCTCTCACCAGCTGTGCTACTCAGGAGAGTGGGCCCCTGAACCTCATCTGGACCACACAGTAGAGCTGGCCTTGGGGTAGGTGTGGGTGGGCTAGCCCTGAGCGTGAGAAAGCAGGAGAACAAGCCCCACCTCTTGCTCCTTGTTGCACAGGGTGAACTAACCAGGGCAGTGCTGGAGAGCTCACCCTGGTGGTGAGGATGGGAGGCAGCTGACAGACTGACCAACCTTGCACTACCCAGGCCCAGAACCATGGCTGAGGTGGCTCACCCCAGCACCCACCCCATCTGTGATCTGTTGGAGCATATGAAGGGGCCAGTCCTGCAGACCCAAAGCTACAGGATCTCCACGACACAGGGTAACAAAAGGATATCCAAGAGGAGTCCCGGTGAGGGTGAGGGCCCAGTGCAGATAGTGTAGCAGAAGCCAGAGACCTTGAACCAGGTTAATGAGTCATTGCAACGAGTACTTGCAAGTAAAGATGTATGGACTAAAGAGTATGCTGTGTGACCCACTGTGTCACACTACAGTTCCCACAAGGAGATTTTTCTGTTTCTTTTTTTTTCTCTTAAATTTTGTTTCATTTTATTTGGGGGGGGTTGCAAGGGCAGAGGGCAGATACAAAGGGATGGGGAGATGAATGGAATAGATAAGCATGATGTGAGAGCCACAAAAAATAAACAAAAAGTTAAGAAAAACCACACCAGGACTGGAGAGATGGCTCAGAGGTTAAGAGCACTGACTGCTCTTCCAGGGGTCCTGAGTTCAATTCCCAGCAACCACATGGTGGCTCACAACCATCTACAATTCAATCTGGTGTCCTCTTCTGGCATGTAGGCAGAACACTGTATATGTAATAAATAAATAAATCTTTACAAAAAAAAACACCAGGAACTAAATGAAAATCTCCAAAGCCCACATACAAGCCTGGCATGTTTGAGCACAAGTCTGTCACTCCAGCACTTTTAGGGACAGAGACAGGAGGATTGCTGGGGCTTGCTAGTCATCAGCCTGAATTCATGATCAGTGAGAGACGCTGACTCAAGGGAATATGATGGGAAATGATAGAGCAGACACACACACACACACACACACACACACATACATACAAACACACACAAACACACACACATACATACAAACACACACACACATACACACACACAAACACACACATACATACAAACACACACACATACACACACACAAACACACACACATACATACAAACACACACAAACACACACATACATACAAACACACACAAACACACACACATACAAACACACACACCCCTACCTTCAGGGGAAGCAGACGCCAGTGTGAAGAGTCAGCATGCAGACAGCTTCCTCCAGCAGAGTTACAGTGTTTCAGGAACCTTAGGCTCCTTTCCTGACTCTACTTTAGAGATAGAAATTAAGATTGGAACTGAGATCATCTGGCCCAACCCTTCATTTTACTGAAACCACAAATGTTAATAACATGGCCCAAAACACATGAGGAACCCAAAGACACTCAGGACTGAACCTAATTCTCGTTTTCCTATAGCGGGTGTTCCTACACTGTCTCAGGCTGTCTCTGCCACACAGAGGGTGCCCCAAACTCTGCCCTGAGTGCAAATGTTAGAAATAGGTGGGGCTGACTTGATTCCTTTTCCTTTTTTTTTCAGCACAGGATCATGACCACGCTAGAACCTTGGCTTTTGTCTGGGGCTCTGAATCTAAGCCCCAGAATCTAATGCTGCAGAGGTCTGCTGGTTCTTCCAGTTGCCTGTGGCTTGCTGGAGGTTTGTGTGGTAGCTGTGCACCCCCTAGTGGCACAGGTGAGGATGCCATGCATCAAGGAAGAGATTTCTTCCTAATGTGGTGCGGTGGGGATGGGGGTGGGTGGGCTGTCAGAGCTTCACTTCAGCTTTGATGCAGTCTGTACTTGCAGAACTCTCTCTCTCTCTCTCTCTCTCTCTCTCTCTCTCTCTCTCTCTCTCTCTCTCTCTCTCTCTCTCTCTCTCTCTCGCTGTCTGTTCCCCCCTCCCTCAATATCTCCCCCTCCCTCCCCATTCTTCACACACCGGAATTCCAGCCCTGTCAGATCCCATCTTTACTGAAACTTTGATTTTTCTCTTTGCTTCTGCATTATTTTTGATTTACTAACATTCCGTATTAAAATATTATTGGCATTGAGCTTTTTGGCCACTTTTTGTCTTACTGTCGCCTTGTCATGATCGTGATCATAAGCCCGTATAGGAAGAGCCCTAGTGCATGGAGTACATGCAGCACTCACTCATCAGGAGAAACCTGAGGTCTGTCTGTCTTCCCGTCTGGGCTGCAAGCTCTCCGCAATGTTGTGATCAGAGCTGGGGTTCTCCAAGCTTCTCCAGAAGGGGCAGCTGCATTTCAAAGGGTGTACGGAATGAGAGAAGACCTTTGGACCAAAGGCCGTCTTATGGTTAAAGATGTGCCGTTCTGCCTCTTCCTCAGTGCATGTATAATGGGAAGACCCAAAGGCAGTCCCAGGTTCCCGAGACCCTCAAGGAGCAGCCAGGGGTAGGATGAAGGATTAGGGTCTCTCTGTATAGCCCTGGCTGGCTTGGAATTTGTTATGTAGATCAGTCTGCACTACACAGAGATCCACCCACCTCTGCCTCTTGAGTTCTGGAATTAGCAGCACTCACTATTATGTTTGGTAAAACAATTTGTTAAAGAATGGAAATGGGGGGGGACGTTTACAAATGAAGGCGTCATGTCATCTCAGAGACTGACCCATCTATGGGGGCCCTGGATAGGATCCTTGACCACATGTTGATTTGTTTGGGCCACAAAGTCCTTCCATTTCCTATACCATTTCTGTTTGTTTGTTTGTTTTGGTTTTTCGAGACAGGGTTTCTCTGTATTGTTTTGGAGGCTGTCCTGGAACTAGCTCTGTAGACCAGGCTTGCCTCAAACTCACAGAGATCCTCCTGCCTCTGCCTCCCAAGTGCTGGGATTAAAGGCGTGCGCCACCAACGCCCGGCTCCTATACCATTTCTGACTCAATAAACCCTGTTTTATTAACACTGGGGCTTCTCTCCCCAGGACCAACCAAGGCATTACTTGCTTTTCCATTACTATCCACCAGGGGGCAGTAAGAGCCAACTGCTTGAGAGTCGAGGCTACATCAGGAAACTCCAGCAATTGATCTTGGGCTCACATGAGCCTCCTCTCTGGAGGCTTCTTCAGCCCAGCAGGTTGAAAACAGCTGGACCACGGTAGACTCAACTCAGTGCTATTCATTCCTGTCAGCAAGCATGCAGAGATTCCCTGCTCTGCATTACGGACTGAGCAGTAGGACAAGCAGAACAGTAAAATGCCCAGGTTCTTGAAGGACTGTACTCATGCTCTGAGAAGGTTCAAGTTTATCCCCAGTGGGCAGTAGGGGTGCACGCCTTTAATCACAGCACTTGGGACGCAGAGGCAGGCGGATCTCTGTGGTTTGAGGCCAGTTTGGTCTACAGAGCAAGTTCCAGGACAGCCAGCACTACACAGAGAAACCCTGCATGGGGGGGGGGGGGGATTATCCTCATATTGATGTCACACTTCCTCTGTATCCTGATAATAAACTTTTTTTGAGATAGCTTCACCCTCAGCCTAGACTGGCTTTGAATTCAATGCAATCCTCCTGCCTCAGTCAGTTGAATGCTGGAATTACAGGTGTAAGCTATCATATCCAGAGTAAATTCATTTTCTTTGTGTTTTTTTCTCCATTAAATTTTGTTTTAAATTTTATTTTACATTCCTACCACAGTTCTCCTTCCCACCACTCCTCCCACCCCTGAGCCTCCCTCCTCCCCCATCCACTCCACCTCATGAGTAAGGGCTCCCATGAGTAGTCAACATAGTCTGGCTCTTTAGGTTGGGGCAGGGCTGGGTTAAGTGGAAGGAACGTGGCTATCTATGCCTGTGAGGGTCTGTGTGATATCCTAGCATCAAGAGTCTCTTCCTCCCAGCAGCCCAGTTCTTCTGGCCTCAGTCGTTCCCTCAAGTGCGCCCATTCTTCCCTGTCAGAGAGGGCGATTGTACCTGCAGGTAGGTCATTTTGCTTGGGGAACAATCCCTCCAGGTTCTCCCATTGCCCTGTGTCCTGCTTCAGTGTTCAGCTTTTCCATGCACACAAGGTTTCTGATTTATAATGCTCTGGCCTATGAGCTTTTGACTTTACGACGGTGCAAAAATGACACACATTCAGTAGAAACCACCTGGAGTTTTGATCCTTCCCCCTCACCGAGTGTGTGTGGGACAGCGGCCTTTGCAGTTGAGGACACTGGCAGTGGGCCACCCATCAGGGTGAACAACGGCTCTTCCGTGTGCTGTGTGGCTAGACCCTGACATGCACCGTTGAGTGTACCTTCAGCTGAACGACATTTTAAACTTACTGTGTTTCAGACACAATTCTAACGCAAGCCGAGGAGCATCTGCTGTGGCTTGAAGGGATCCCAGAGAATTGGGGAGACAGGACTGGGAGTGGGAGTGGTTTGTTTCTGATCTATGCGGTGGTCCAGGCTGCACATATAAGTAAAAATCCCTAAGTTTCTCACTTAAAAAGTTTGCCTGTATATAAGAAGACCTAAGAGATGAACTCTTACAAAAAGTCACACAAATATTTCAGCCACTTCCCTGTGCCTGTTTCCATGTGGCAGAGTATTTATATTTTTCTGTTTATTTATGAATTGTATTTGCCATGGGGATAGGAGCTCTGTCTTGCCTCTGCTGTATGTAACTCACAGAGTTTAGGCCAATGTCTGTTACTCAACAGATACTAAGATAACTAGTGAGCGAACAGATAAATAATGAATCAAAAGCTTGGATTTAATGATATTTTTAAGCAGCAAAAGAGGAGGCCATCCTGGGAATAGAAGCTCCCAAGATAGCCAGACCCCACCCCCAGCCCAGGGGTCCTCTTCCATCAGCACCCATCCCCAGAAACTCAGTCCCTTCCTGGAGGCTCAATTCCAGCTTGTCTATACCTCATTGGGGTCTCCTTGGTCAGCATAGATGAGAAAGCCCGTGAAGAGGCTGTCGGTCCAGTAAGGGTCATAGAAGAGTCCGTTCTGCTCCGAGTAGAAGATCTGCAGCCAGACTTCGTCACCCTCCTTGAGAGCTAGGATGGTGGAGCCCGAGGCCACGTCGTGGTTGCCAGTGTTGGCATCAAAAGTCCGAATTCGGTACTGGCCATTGTGCACCAGGCCGATGGCCAGGTGCTTGTTGGCCAACGTTATGTCGTAGGTGAAATAGTAGATCCCTGGCACGCTGCAGACGAACTTGCCACTGGATGCATTGTAGTGCCCACCCTCATTCATCAGGATCTTGTCAAACTTGATGGGCAGTCGCTCCCGTGGATAGCTCTTGGTCACCGCCACCGAAAAGGCCGACTTGGCACGGCCACTGCCACAGCTGCAGGGCCCTGGGAGCCCAGGCTCCCCTTTCTTGCCTTTAGGTCCCTTCTTGCCTGGTGTGCCATGCTTCCCTGGGGTACCGCTGACCCCCTTGGGTCCTCGAGGACCGGCCCGCCCAATGGCTCCTGCTTTGCCCTTTGGGCCTTGTTTTCCACGGTTGCCTGTCCGTCCAGGTGGCCCTGGAAGACAGAACAGTAGGGTTTTATAGGGGGCCTGTAAAACCTGGGCACAGCCCATGACCAGAGAGAATGAGAGACTTTGGGGCACACAGGAGGGGACAGAAGATGAAGGCATAACAAGAGGCACTTTTCTAGGTCTTTTCAAGAAAACCAGGATTTCGAAGCCCATCAGAAGCCCTGAGAATCAGGGCAGGAGAATAGTTCATTGGGCTGGGGATGTAGCTCAGTTGGTAGAGTGCTTGCTTAGCATGTGTGAACTCCTGGGTTCTGTCCCCAACACTGCATAAAACTGGACTTGGCCGTGCACTCCTAGTGCAGTGTGTGAGTGTGTGTTGAGGGGATCAGGAGTTCAAGATTATCTTGGCTACATAGCGAGTTTGAGGCCAGCCTGGGCTACATGAGACTGTCTCAGGAAAACAAAAAGAAGGGAAGCAGATTTATAGGCTACGTAAAGACAGCTCTGAAGTTCACTGAGCAAAAACAGCAGCGGGTGCCAGAATTTCCAGGTGCCAGGGAAGCAATAATGCCTCCCATCCCGTGTTCTCTCAGTGCACAGGACAGTGCCTGGCAAACACCGTCTAAGTGTCAAACATCAGTTGGTAAATCCTGCAGAACATCCCCAGGTGTTTCCTCAGAGGACACGTCTTGGTTGTGAATACGGATATTTCATAAAATATACATTGACCTACAAACAGCATTTTTGAGTCAATGATTCCATAGGAAGCATTTGTACTTAGGATTGTTTAGCACAACATTTTATTTCAGCCGGTCTCACATGGCCTAGGGCTGGTGTGAACACACCGCGAAGCCAAGGCTGGCTTTATACTGCAGACTCGTATCCTACCTCTCAAACGCTGGGATTCCAGTATGAGCCACTGGGCCTGGCTCTTCAACACATTTTAAGCAAAACACATATGGAAGGGGGCTTGGGTTCTGTCTTCACTCAGCTGTGCATTGGCAGAAGCGTTTCAAATGCCCATCAAAGGCCTTGCTCCTGAGAAGTGCCAATGCTAGTGAACATCTGAGCATCACCAGGTACAGGGCAAGGATGGCTTACCTCTACTGGAGTGAAAGAGGGGAAACTTTTAGCAAGTTTTTGCCCTGACGAGGTACTTTGTTTCCTCTGTGTAACATGTAGACCCTCCACTGTGTGATGGCTAATCTTGGTTATCAACTCCATTGGATCTGAATCAGCTAGGAGACACACCTCTGGGCAGGTCTATGAGGGAAGGATTAAACTGAATCAGGAAGATGCTGCCCTAGAGTATAGCATTTTCTGACTGTGTCCCCGATATGAAGAGATCTGAGGGAGAGGTTGCTGCTTCTGCCTGTCTGCCTTCACTCTCTGCTGGTGAATGCATCTACCCTGTTGTTACTGTTTTCCTCTGCTGGTGAATGCATCTACCCTATTGTTACTGCTGCCCTCTGCTGGTGAATGCATCTACCCTGTTGTTACTGCTGCCCTCTCCTGGTGAATGCATCTACCCTATTGTTACTGCTGCCCTCTGCTGGTGAATGCATCTACTCTATTATTACTGCTGCCCTCTGCTGGTGAATGCATCTACCCTATTGTTACTGCTGCCCTCTGCTGGTGAATGCATCTACTCTGTTGTTAGTGCTGCCCTCTGCTGGTGAATGCATCTACCCTATTCCCATTGCTGCAGGCATCCTTTGCTGACATTACCAGCCTCTCTAGCCTTCCACTGTGGGCTGAAGACTTGTGGCCCGCCTGGAGTCCTCCAGGTCTTCATTGACAGATTGGGACTGCTGAAGTATCCAGCCTCGTGGATGGAGAAGCTACTGAGTGATCAGCCTTTTCCATCAGGCATATGGTCATTTTGGGCTATCAAGCCATGTCATGTAATCCTACCTGAAAAATCCTGTTTGTAATGGTGGCAGTCAACAAAGCTGGAAGGAGTTGGATTTCTGAAGATCGCATTGACATCAGACATGCAGATGCAGAATTTAGAGTTTGCCCTGGTCTTGCTTTAGTGCGGTATTTCCTCACTGTGCTCCCTTTCCTTCCCCTTGGCACGGTAATGTATATCCTGTGTGCCACTGCATGTTGGAAGTATGTGTCTGCTTCTTGATTTTGACTTTCAGGGGTTTACAGATAAGACATAGCCTTGAGTCTCACAAGAGACTTTGAACGTTTAAACAGTCCTAAGACTGATAGACTACGGTGACTTTTACAGTTGGACTGGATTTATTTTGTATTATGATATGGCTATAAGCTTATGGGGGCCAGAGGGAGGAATGTGTTGGCTTGAATGAGAATGGCCCCCATAGGCTCATATATTTTCATGTTTAGTTTCCAGATGATGAGCTGTCAGGGAAGGATTAGAAGGAGGAGGAATGTCACACTATTTTAGGGAGGAATTTTCTTTTTGTTGTTGTTGTTGTTCATGCTTAAAATTAATTTATTTTTTACATTCCAATCCCAGTTCCCCCCTCCCTCCTTCCCTTCCAATCCCTCTACTCCCCACCTCCTCTCATCTGCTCCTCGGAGAGGGTAAGGCCTCCCCTAGGAGGTCTACTAAGTCTGTCCCATCATCTCATTGAGGCAGGACTAAGGCACCTCTCCACCCCCCACATCCCTGTGTCTAGACTGAGCAAGGTATCTCTCCATACAGAATGGGCTCCACTAAGTCAGTGTGTGCGTTAGTGTTAGATCTTGAACCCACTTCCAGTGGCCTCATATATTGTCCCAGTCACACCGTTGTCACCTATGTTAAGGGAGTCTAGTTTGTTCTTATGCAGGTTCCCCATTTATCAGACCTGAGTCAGTGATCTCTCACTAGCTTGGGTCAGCTGATTCTGTGGGTTTTCCCTTCATGGTCTTGACTCCTTTGTTCATGTTATCTCTCCTCCTTTACTTTGTACTCCAGGAGCTCGGTCCATTGGTTAGTTGTGGATTTCTGCATCTGCTTCCATCTGTTTTTGGAAGAGGGTTCAAGCTTCTCTGGGGTTATGGATCGTAGGCTGGGTATCTTTTGCTTTATGTCTGGTAACCACTTATGAGCGAGTACATACTATATTTGTCTTTCTAGTTTTAGGTTACCTCACTTAGGATGTTTTTTTCTAGTTCTGTCCATTTGCCTACGAATTTTCAGATGTCATTGTTTCTTACTGCTGAGTAGTTCTCCATTGTGTAAATGTACCACATTTTCTTTATCCATTCTTCAGTTGAAGGGCATCTAGACGGTTTCCAAGATCTGGCTAATACAAATAATGTTGCTATGAACATAGCTGAGCAAATGTCCTTGTGGTGTGAATGTGCCTCCTTCGGGTATGTGCCCAACAGAGGTATTGCAGGGTCTTGAAGTAGGTTGATCCCTAATGGAGGAATTTTCTTAATCCAGGTTTCTTCCTCTCGTGTGACTTTAGCTTGTGTCAAGTTGACATAATACTATCAGCACACTTGGTCATGGTGCCTCTTCACAGCAATAGAACAGTGACTAAGACAGTAATATGTACTCATTCTATTGGTTTTGCTCCCCTACAAGTCCCTGAGTTTACTATCACATTTTAAAACATTTATTACTTTAAATAGTTGGGAAATAGATTTCCAAACAACATTTTTTTATTGAATATCTAATTTTCAGGAGCCGTTTCTCAATGTTCATTAGTGTTAGATCTTGAACATTCAATTTTTATTCTTATGGATTTTTTTCTTGCTTGCAGGCCTGTGTACCACCTATGTGCTTGATGCCTATGTGGTACCAAAGGCTAGAAAAAGGCGACAGGGGCTGGAGTTACAGATGGATGTGAGCTGCCACATGGGTTCTGGGAACCAAACTTGGATCCCAAGAGCAACCAGTGTCCTTCACCATGGAAACATCTCTCCTGCCTGGAGCCATTTTTAAATGGTGTAACTGGGACACAGATAGATACAGTGTCATGGTGATGACGGCACAAACACACGAGGAGCCCCCCCTTAAACACTTCTCATCTTCCTCTTGTTGTCTAGACACAGTCACATACATCAACCAGGTGTTCACCCTTCCTGACTTTTCTCTATAAACATTTACTTATCCAATTAATATTCAAAGCCATTTATGTATACAATTAATACATCAAACGAGGGTGGGACATTTAGGTCAGTGGTAGAGCACACGCTTAGTACCAAAATGGGATAAATGACAAGTGGAGAAAAAATACAAATAAAACTAGTCAAGACCTTGATAAAAATGGAAACTAAAGGCATAGGAGATGGTTCAGCTATCAAGATCACTTGAAGAGGACCAAAGAGTTGGGTTCCCAGTAAAGGTAACTGAGCTGTGTAAAGGAATGTGGGTTAAAAAATATGGGTTAATTCAAGTTCTAAGTACTATTTAAGAATAAGCCTGAGCTAAGGCCGAGCTTTCATAGTTAATAATAAGTCTCTGTGTCATTCTCTGTGAGCTGGAACCCCAAAGAAAAATCCATCTACTCCTGTAACTCCAGCTCCAAGTGCTTCAATGTCTTCATCTGGTCTCCTTGGGCACTCACGTGCATATGAACGCACACAGACAAACACACGCACACACACACACACAGGCACATAAGTAAATAATAAAAATTTTAAAACTGAAGTGAACAAAAGCTGGGAGAAGGGGTTGAGGGCATAGGAAGCACAGAGATGACCACTTTGGCTTGGCATTCTTTCCCAGTGAGGTAGTTAGGAAAGTCAGGACAGGGACTTCTAACTCTGGCTGTGTGATCTTCTTCCTTCTTCCTTACCTTCCGAAAGCCTCCAGGAAACATTGACTTTCCTCCCTGAGACATTTCTAGAGATGGGTTTATGTTTGTTGGTTGGGCGCATGACTAGATGTTATCCTGCTCCAGTCCCAAGGTGACCTGGATCTGATTGAGCTACACACACCTGACTGCTCCCTCTCTGCCTCTCAATGCTGCCTTCTTCTGTGGTCACTTGACCTCTGGCAGGAGAGATCCCAGGCCAGCTGTCTCCTCACTCCTAATCAAGGAGCGAGATCAACATAAACCATCTCCCACAGGATCCACAAGCAAATCTCCAGGAAGGCTTGGGCAGGCCCTGCTTGATCCAAATACACTATGGGGTCAAAGAATGTGGGATGGTGCCATCCAGTGTCTGGCACCTTGCAGGACCTCCCAGGGTCCAAGCATTTCCATTTTTGACAGAAGTCTTGGAGGAGTTGGTTTTGTGTGATATGAAACACCTTGGATTTGGAATCTAAGTTCAGGAAATCAGGATGGGGCAACGCTGGAACAGTGATTTCAAGACAAGTGCTTCAGACAGTTTTTGCCTCTGTCTCTGGTAAGAAGTGTTGTTGGTATCACTTTTGTAGGTATGGGGACACTTAGGTTGGAGGAGGTTAAGACACTTGTCCAAATTAGTATTCAAGGTTGTCCCCAGAGTTTAAGTGCTTGTAACTATGACTTAGTCATCTTAACCTTGCTACCCTGAGTCTTAGTCTTCTCTTTTGAAACTTGAATAATAAGGGCATTTGCTTTACAGGAGCATATTGGTGATTTGATGAGTGACCTATTCAAAATGCCTTGTCAGTGTTAAATTGCCATGTAAGTAAAAGCTATCACGGGCCTGGCAGGGTGGAGCATGTACTTAGGTTCCCTGGTACAAGGTCCAGGGTTTTCTCACTAACACCAAAAACAGCAAACTGCTCTAATTTCAGAGTATTTCAGATGTTCCCTGGAGGATGCTGATAAAGAGCAGGGGTGAAAGGTCACAGCTAGAAGGAAAGCCCAAGTAGAAGGAACCTAAAGACAACATTCAATGTGTTCCATGCTACCCTTAGGTACTCTGTGTGGGTCCCCGTGGGGCGGTCAACTACAGTGACCCAGGACTTCCACTGCCTACTCAAAATCATCCAGGGGCGGCATGTGAGCCAACCTTGGCAAACGTTGGTACCGCATCTCCCTTTGAAAAGGTGAAGGATGGGTATGGACGAGAGACCTGAATCATCAACTGCCATTTCAGAGTATCCAGCTTTAGGGGGATGAAACCAACCTCCTGGGAGAAGCAGAGCCCAGACAAAAGGAGTTAAACTCTGGGCCAAGCTGTTCGTGAAGCTCATCTCTTGGTCTTCACAGTTTCATGAGTCAAGTAATGTTAGTTGGGCTTATGAATTGGATTGCTGTCACCTACAAATCACGAACTTGGGATAATATAGCGCACAGATTTGCTCAACCCCTCCTCCACCCCACTTAGCAAGTCAAATGCTCTGCAGAAGTAGGAACATAGGAGTGACAGTCTCCATCTGTTCTCTTCCATTTGGTTAGAAAGATGTACCGATAGGTACTGGTTTCAGGAACTCTGAAGCATGACCCCTCCCCATGACAGATGCTGTCAATTTTGGTGGGACAAGAGGACAGGTAGAGGTCTCTCACCTTCTTCTCCGCTGTCCCCCCTGTCTCCATCCTGGCCATCTTGGCCATCTTTACCAGGAAAACCCATTCTTCCCACCATTCCTGAGGATCCTGGTGCTCCTGGAGGGCCAGGTGGGCCTTGGGGACCAGGCAGGCTGCAGACGAGTTGAGGGCCACCTTTCTGGAAGTCCCTTCGAGCGAACGCACCAAGTAGGGGGTCAGCAGCACATGGAAGAGCACAGGCCAAGAGTACCCAGGATATCATGGTGGTCACCTGTGGGTGACAAAAGAGCTGTGGCAGGTGAGAGCGGACATAGTTCTGACACACTAGTGGTCAATCCAAAGGCATCAGGAGGAGGAGAGGCATGGATGCAATTACATTTCTGTTTGTCTCTCTTTCCTGTGACACAGACATCCAGCTAGACCAGTGGTTCTCAACCTGTGGGTCGGGACCACTTTGGGGGTTGAATGACCCTTTCACAGGGGTCGACTAAGAACACAGAAAAACACAGATATTTGCATTACATTATTTTTTTAAAGATTTATTTATTTATTTATTATGAATACAACATCCTGCCTCCATGTATGTCTGCACGCCAGAAGGGGGCACCAGATCTCATTACGGATGGTTGTGAGCCACCATGTGGTTGCTGGGAATTGAACTCAGGACCCTTGGAAGAGCAGTCAGTGCTCTTAACCTCTGAGCCATCTCTCCAGCCCTTGCATTACATTTTTAACAGTAGCAAAATTACAGTTACAAAGGAGCAATGGAAATAGTTTTATGGTTGGGGTCACCACAAGATGAGGAAATGTACTAAAGGGTCACAGCATTAGGAAGTTTGAGAACCAATAATCTAGACAGTGTCATCATATTTTTTTCCCAGACAGAGTTTCTCTGTGAAGCCTTGGCTGTCCTGGAACTCAGAGACCAGTCTGCCTCTGCCTTCCAAGTGCTGGGATTTAAAGGTGTGTGCCACCACCACCTGGCAGTGTCATCATACTTAGATAGCTGAATCCTGTGCTCAGATACACTTTACAGGGGTCTTGAGAGCAAGCCATTCACCATTAGACTGTCATTCACCCAAGTAGCTGAAATGCAGAAAGAACTCCCCCATCCCTAACTCAGGGCTTCAGTCAAATATGCAAATTGAAAGTACAAGAGCAGGCACACTGATTGTAGCTGGTGATTTTCAGCTGGATTACTTCTCACAGGGACTTGGGATTGTAAGTGTGAGAGGATGAGGATTCAGTGACTGAGGGATGGTGATTCCTTGTGAGGGTGGCAGCCCTGGCCATGGTAACAACTCCTCTCTAAGCGCTTCCGGTGCCCAGGCCCACACTCAAGGTCAGAGCTATCAATACACCCCCCATCTCAATACAACAGCCTTACAGAATAGGCACAAGTCAGGAAAAGAGGCTCAGAAAAGCTAGGTGATGGGTCTGGCTAGGTCATGTAGCCAGAAGGTGGTAGGCTGGGGTTTGATCCAGGTTGCACATCTCCAAAGATTGTCCCCTCCTACTCCGAGCTGGACCTGTCCTTAAGGTTTGTGGTATAAGACCACTAAGTATCAGTGTGGGACACAGTGGGAGACCCTCGCCTCCCCATGTACACCGTGCAGATACACACTCGGGTTTGGAGCAGAAATCAGGGACTTCGCTTAAGGCCCGTCAACAAGCTATCTCTGATGCCTGGTCACCAACAGCCTCTCTTTCCAGGAGGAAACTAGGAGAGAGGAGAAAAATGTTGGGCATGACTTCTGGCTACCTGGATGGCTCTCAGTGGTAACTTGATTTGTGACCTCAGGCTAGCCCTTTTCTGACTCCTAGTTTTCCTACCTGAACAGCAAGGTGCCAGAAGAGATCAGTGGTTTTCAATCTGAGCGTCTATTCAATCAGATTGCGGATTGGGGGCTGGTCAAAATGTAGATGGTGGAGTCCCACCTGTAGGGATAGATCTTACTAGGTATCTGTGGCGCTGACCACACCTGTTTGGGTGTGGCTACAGGTGCGTTTGGGGTGTGTGAGGTATAGGCCTGAGGGGAGAGAGGCGAGCTCTCTCTCGGGGTCCTGAGACCCTTCCAGCTCTGACACTGAGCCTTTCCCTCTCCTGCCTTCCTGCTCGTTGTGGAGATGAAGGGTGACTGACTCCACAGCTCCCACATGGCTTTTGACCCATAAGCCCAGGCAAGATTCATGGGTGGTGGGAGACTGGGGTCAGACTGGGGACTCAAGTGTGGGAGCTCAGGGTTCTTCCTGGGTCCTTCACTCCCCCAATCCACCCCCTTTGTTTCCCACCCTGCTTTGGTCTTGATGCTGACAACTGCCCAGGATTTGGGGCTCTCTTTGGTGCTCCCCTTGGAACAAGCTGACTTCTCCTCGGCTCCTGGTCCACTCCAGGTCAGGACATCTCTTTTCAGTACTAGAGAGTGAAGCCAGGGCTCCACCCATCCCAGATAGATGCTCTACCCGGAGACTGCACGCCCAGCTCCCTTCCTACTTTTCCCTTTCAGACTAGCTTGAGCTCCCCTCACTGACTGATGCTTGCTCATAAAGGGACAGAGGGACACAACCATAGGTGACCACACTTGGTTGCATTTCTTGTGTCAGGCTTGCTCAGCATAATAAACCATGTATGTTAGTCTGACACCAATGGCAGGCGCTGCTGGAAAACTGGCCCAGACACTACTCAGGTTCACTTCTCTCTTTCTTCTTCCTGCTAAACGAGATGAGAGTTGTGGAAAACGGCCTGGTATAATTTGGAGTTTCTTTTTCCTGAGTTAGGGGTTGAACCCAGGTCCCCACCCACGCTAGACAAGTGTTCGGCCAATGAGTTACATTTCGCAGCCCTGTTGTTTAGGAGTTGAAGCACAGCTGGGCGTCTTAAAGAATGAAACTTAATTTTCCAAGCAGTTTTGAAATGATCTAGAAATTTGTGACCCATAAACATTTCAGATTATCAAGAGAGGGAGGGAGAGAGGGAGGGTGGAGGGAGGAAGGGAGAAGGGAGGGAGGTGGAGTGACTTTTACAAGTAGACCACGGACTCCAAGAGCAGCTAAAGTCACAGCCAAGAAACAGCTAGACCAGAGTGGGCACAGGGGCTTATCTATCACAGTGCTCTCTATTCTACCCCAAAGTACAGACACGAGGCCCCGGAGAGGGAGGAACTTGCTCTCTCCAGTCTAATATTCTCTGACAGAGAGGGGTCAACGGCCTCTCAATGACAGCTGGGCTGGAGCAGGTCCCTAAGGGGCGGGCTGCTCTGGGACACACAGGGCGATGTTTTATTTTTATTTTATTTTTTCTGGAGCTGGAGTCTGAAGGTTCCTGCAGCCCAGAGGCATTCCTGCAGCTGGAGCCAGGAATAGCTTTGGAAAGAAAGCAGGGGACTAGATTTGTTTCCAGGGCTGAAGGGAGAGGAGAGTTTCCTTGCTTCTCAGGCACCTCCGAGAAAAACAAGACTTCAAATAGCTCTGCTCCCCCCTGAACTCTGTGCCCACACTACCACCCACATGAAGGCCCTGGTGAGAAAACTGGGAAGGGGGATGGCATATTTAGAAGGTAGCAAGCCCCCAAGCCATCTACATGGAGTAACTCTCCCACAGCCTTTTACATAAACACAGAGCGGGCTTGGGGAGGGTTTTAAATCCAGCTCCTTCAGTTATGGATGATACTGAGGCAGAGACAAACTGACATTATCAAGCGCCCACAACGTTCCAGGGTCTGCATGAAGCAATTTGCCTGCATCACGTTATTGGAAAGGTACAATAAGCCCTACAAAGGCAAGAATCATCCTTGCTTTCAAAGGGAGAAGCCAAGGCTCTAAGAGGTGATGTGGTTTTTTTTTGTTTGTTTTGTTTTGTTTTTTTGGTTTTTCGAGACAGGGTTTCTCTGTGGCTTTGGAGGCTGTCCTGGAACTAGCTCTTGTAGACCAGGCTGGCCTTGAACTCACAGAGATCCGCCTGCCTCTGCCTCCCAAGTGCTGGGATTAAAGGCGTGCGCCACCAACGCCCGGCCGAGGTGATGTGGTTTTACCCCCTGTCACACCAGCAGGGCGTAGGCTTTTACCATGGCCAACTATCTCTAGTGACCACGCTTACCCCATATTACCTTTCTCCCTTCTGCGACTTCCTCCCACACACCCAGGGAAGCAATTTGCTCATGTTTACACAGCTAGTTAGTGGCAGACGTTGTATTTGAACTTGGCGCTGGCTGCCCCTGATATACAAGTGCATTCCATGCTGCTAGCACTGCTTAGATGTCTTTCCTTCTAAGCATCCCCAAACGATAGAAGAGATGTCGAAGCGCATGCCAAACCCACTCATAGCATCCTTTGGTATGTTGTATTCTATTTTACAGCTTTATACACATGCATGCCACACGACTTAGAAAATGCCAAAGGGATATTTCTGCTTTCTCAGGATACTTTGGTAATCAGATACTTGAGGAAAACCTCTTGTTCTCTGGGATGTGGTGGTGCACACCTGTAATCACAGCACTCAGGTGGAGGCAGAAGGATCAGGAGTTCCGAGTCATCCTCAGCCATATAGCAAGTTTAAGGCTAGCCTTGGCTACATGGGACCCTAACTCAAAAACATACAAAAAGGGGACTAGTGGGATGGCTCAGAAGTTAAGAGCACTGGCTGCTCTTCCAGAGGACCTGGGTTCAATTCCCAGAACCTACATGGCATCACAACTGTCTGTAACTACAGTTCCAGGGGATCCTACACACTCATACAGACATATCATACAGTCAGCACACCAATGCACATAAAATGAAATTACACACACACACACACACACACACACACACAGAGAGAGAGAGAGAGAGAGAGAGAGAGAGAGAGAGAGAGAGAGAGAGAGATATATAACAAAACAATGAAACATTTCCTATTCTTTTGAAAAGTTTCTGCTTCAATGGACGTGACCATCCAGGGCCCTGGTTCCCACCATAAACCCCTCCGGAGTGTTCCTGATGTGGGGTCCAGCTAGGGTCCTAGCCAAGAGATCAGGGTTGGGGTTTGCAAAGTCCACTTCATCCCATTATTCATTCTTCACTTGGGACTTTCAACACCCTGCTTTCCTGTGCACACTCCATGACTCTGCCCCAGCCAGAGCTGAAAACCATCCATCAGACACCTCATTCTTCAAGCCGGTCCAGTAGCTTCTGGCTATAGGCCACAAACACAGGAACCCCTAACAGACCCCACAAGGCCCTAAATGACCTGGCCTCAGCCTCACCCCAGTCTCTGCTCCTCCGTCCCTTTGCTTGTTGGCTAGCTACAGGGCCTCTAGCAGATGAAGGTCCAGCCCCACTGCTCTTAGCATAGCCCTCAAGCTCAGCTGTCAGCCTCTCTTCCAGGTCGCTGACCCCCTCTTTGAGGCAGCTCCCCTTTCAGGCCCAGCTCTTCGCTCTTCCCTCGCCATTGCAGCCCCTTGCTGGTGTTTACTTTTTCATCCCTCTTACGCTTAAACCCCACAGCTCACAACCATCTGTAACTGCAGGGGATCTGACATCCTCATCTGGCATCTGAGGGTACCCCATATATGAGGTGTGCATGCATGTGCGTGTGTGTGTGTGTGTGTGTGTGTGACACATCTTAAAAAAGAGAAATAGCTGCTTAATAAATGTTTGAGATTCAGAGAATCTGTAGGAAAAGAAAAGGGAGTCTAAATGCCAGAGGGCACAGAAACCACTAATTCAAGCAATTTTTCTCTTCTATTGGTTTTTCTTATCTGGCCCAGACAAGAAACCCTCTTTTGGATTGCTCAGACAAAGGTCTGCCTCTCTTTCTGTCCCTGTCTCTAGGAATGAGCTTGCAGAATACCACACACACAGCAAACGTTTCACAAAGAGAGGTTCAACTGGTCAGAAAAAAAATAGCCATCACCGCCACCTTACCTTTTTGAACACTGTCATCTAAATTGTTCTTTCTGACTATGGGTTGAGGAGAAAGGCTTCATCAAGTCTTCTTGCTAGAGGGCAAAATAAGCATAGTTAAACCCCAGAAATGGAATTATGAGGTGTTAGACTTGGATGAGTTCTGAAGTCTGGTTTTAATCTGTCCAGTCCTGGGCTTCTAGCCTCTCAGGAAAGTAGCTAGTGATTCATGAATATGCATGTTCCAAGAAAGCCCTGGGAGCCCATGGCTCCAGCCTGGAGTCCACTGTAGGGAAGGAGCCGTCTCCCTCCACACTTCACAGGACATAGCCTCTGCCAAGACATTGATATGAGAAGGGGCAGAGGTGGGGACCCCGGCCTTGCCTGGATTTTTCTGGAATGTGGTCTGCAAGTGCAAACGCCAGGGATGCTTGTCTGGGCCTTGAGTGAGGCCGTGGAGGCCCAGGTGCTGACCAAGCTTTGCTCGAAAGATCTGAAGATCTCAAGCAATTTTTTTTCTCAGTAGAAAAGAGCCCTGGAAAATCCAGTCACTTGTTTGTTTAACTATTTCATGGACACAATGCCATTTTTAACCCACAGAGTCTGTGTCAAAGATGAGATTACACCTCTAAAACATTCATCCCAGGGGTTGACACACTAAACACTGCAGCTGGCCACCTGTACTCCGCCCCCCATCCTAACCTGATCCCCAGGAGTCCTCTCAGCTGCCCACCTCATCCTTGAAACCTCAGGTCTAGTCTCATCTCCTTGGGAACGCGGCTCACACTCTATGGTATCTGACCCATAATGCTCTTGGGCTGCCCTGTTCTGTCTTGCAAGGCATGTGACCCAGTTGTGGTCATGATTTGCCTCTGTCTCCTCCTACTGGGGAAGTGGGGGCCCTGCCTGTGCCTGTCTGTAACACTGGAGCCTAGTACAGTGCCACATATAGTGCATGTTCAATACGAATTAAGTGACTTTGGATGCAATGGTCACTCATAATCCACGAAATTGCAACAGGATCTTGATACATTTGTGGTTGACAGAGCTAAGTGTCTGAGTGCTAAGACTGCAGCTCACAGTCCCCTCCTCCACCTGGAGACCCTGGAGTGATGCCCTGCCTTGCCTCATCCTCAGCAGAAGAGGACCTCCAAACGGGATCCAACAGGGGAGTTCTTCCTGTGTACAGCTTTAGAAGGAACAGGCTTGCGGCTGGGGTTAAAGAGAGCTTGCTTGCAGATGAATGAAGACTGTTAAAAATCTGCTTTGATGGCAGTGAGAACTCTAATGGAAAACACCCTGCCTTCCCCAATTCCAGGAAGCAAATTAGAAGCAGTCCTCTTCCCAGTTTCTCTACATGCTGAGGTGGACTGGAAGAGAGGGTTGGCTGTAGCTCCTACAAGCTCTCCGGACATCCCCTTTTCTGGGATCTCAAGTTTGGGGCCCACTTGGAAACTCTGCCCTGCCCAGAAGAGAGAGAGAGAGGATTTCAAAGTGAACACAGAGAGTTGAAAAGCATAGGGTCTTCTTGCTGAGACATATTTTAATCCCTCCCCCGTTCCTCCCTCCCCATTCCTGGCTCTGCCTAGGAACAGAGGTCTAAAGATAAATTATGACCTAATGAGAGGTCCCAGGAGCTGGAGCTGGCTCTGCTTGTCTCAGCTAGCATTTCTGAAGGCACGCAGGAAGTCAGTCTTGGACTTAATATCAAAGGATCCTATTTTCATCTATATATATACACGGCAGGACCTTTGAAATCAGCAAACATAACATTCAACATGGTGGGCAGTGCAGGTCAGCCCTCTGGCCCAGGCTGCTTCAGGTCTGAGCCTCCACTGAAGAATTGGCTACAGGAGTCAGGGCGGGTGGAGCTCCTGGTAACTGAAGTGGAGACTGGTAATTCCACCTTGCCTGTGGCTATTGTGCCACGTGGAGGACCAAGGAGGACAGTGAAGGAGAAGGATGCGGTTGCTGAGTGGGATGTTGCCCGAATATGATATTTCAGATATAGGCCTCAATTCCAGGAGCTCGAATCGCCTATTGTCTTTTAGATGTTGGATGGTTACCTCCGGATAGCCTTAGCCGCAGTGGAGAATGACTTCTAGTTCGTGTAACAATAGACCTAGGCCCCACACCCATCATGAGGGCTAGTGGGATGCCTGAAGACTGGTCAGACACGAGATGAGCCTTTACAGAATGTTTGAGGTCTTGTGTACGTGCATTCTAGGACCATCTCTAGGGCTAAAGGGAGTGTTTCCTAGTCAGCCCTGAATACGTGATAATAGATGTCTTCTGCCAGTACCCCTGCTTCTAGAAAGCTATTTAAGAGGATGCTTGAATAAACCGGTGTCTCCAGTATGGACTGAGAGCCGTCCTGAGATGACATGATGTCTCATCCTTAACGCCTCTGGGTAGCTAGGACTTCCCTGATCCACACTCTCGCACTCAGGGTCAGACCTGGGACTGTTTGGCTGGTTCGCTCCAAAGACATCAGTTCAGAACAGATGGCCCCTACAGCATAGGACTGATACAGGCCGGACCCCGGCAGGACGTGAGGAGCAGTGGAAGAGGGGTTTGTTATTCTGTCTCCATGTCTCCAGCCCGTCAGCCTTGGCATGGCAGACCTGAGTGGTGGGGGAGAATAATTGGACGACATTGTCCAATAGGAAAAGGACACAAGCCATCTATGTCACTTAAGATGACTTTGTGGTCACATTAAAAGAAGCAGGTGAAATTAACTTCAATGTTATTTAGGTCAGTGTGTCATGTCATTTGAACATGTAATCTTCAAAGAAAAAAACATTAGTGAGACATTTTACAATCTTTGAAACATATTCCTTAAATATATTTTTTTATTTTATGTATCTGAGTGTTTTGCTTGCATGTATATAGTTGCACTGTGTGTGTGTGGTGCCTGTGGAGGCCAGAAGAGGGATATGGTTATATCAGAACTAGAGCAGAGACAGTGTGATCCACTGTGTGCATGCGGGGACTCGAACCTGAAAAGTGAGTGCTCTTCACTGATGAGCCACCTCTCCAGTTCCATATTTTACAGTACTTAGTTAACACTAACTTTTGTGAGTTTTTCACACTTGTGACTCAATTTTAATATTATTTATTAATGTACATTGATTGATTGGCTGATGGTGTATGTTTGTATATTTGTGTGTGTGTGTGTGTGCTTGCACATACTAAAGTGTGTCACAGAGTACATGTGGAGGTTAGTACACAACTCATAGGACTGTGCTCTTTCCTTCCACCTTGAGGGTTTGGGGGATTGAACCCAGGTTGGCTCTAGTCACATGACAGAACTCTGTAGCATTTCAGGGACTCCACCTCCCTCTTCTGGCACAGCATGCAAATGGCGCGCGGACCTACATTCCAGAAAAATACTCAAGGCGCTTATTCTCCAGACATGCTGGACTCTAAAGAAGGTTGTCAGCATCAAACCTAGTGGTCAGCTTCCTTAAGATACAATGTGTAAGAATGGACTCGGAGAGGCTGAAAAGCAATGGAGAGCAAGCCTGTCACTGAGGAAATTCCACCTTTGTGAGAGGCATCAGCTGGAAGCTGGGGATACGGCTTCAGTGGATGAAGTACTCTGCCGCTCAAGAATGAAGAGCTGAGGCTAGATCCCCAGCTTCCGCAGAAAAGCCAGGTGTGATGGTGTGCACTTGTTACCTCAGTGCTGGTGGTGAGGGGACAGGTGGGTCCCTGAAGCCTAGCTGAAATGCCAATTCCAGGGTCAGTGACAGTCTGTGTCTCAGAAAAAAGAAAGGCGGGACACAGTAGAGGCAGACACCCAATGTTCACTTCTGACTTCATATACACTAATGTACATGTGAACACACATATGAACACACATATACAAACACCACACAAATACATAAATTGACAGTGATCAGCTTGCTGCTTGTTAATCAGTTGCCTTATTTGGACTGCAGGTTGCACTGGACTTTTTTTGGGGGGCGGGGCGGGTCTACTTGTGAAGCGCTGGCTGGCCTGAAGTGACTATGTAGACAGAGCAGGCTGGCCTGGAGCTTGTCAGCAACCCTCCTGCATTGACTTCCCAAGTTTTGGGATTGTGGGTGTGTGTGCCAGCATGCCCAGCCTCCACATCTCTACTTTTTTTTTTAAAGATTTATTTATTATGTATACAGTGTTGCCTACACGTACACCTGCACACCAGAAGAGGGCACCAGATCCCATTACAGATGGTTGTGAACCACCATGTGGTTGCTGGGAATTGAAGCCAGAACCTCTGGAAGAGCAGTCAGTGCTCTTAACCTCTGAGCCATCTCTCCAGCCCTCTAACTTTTATTTCTTGACAGTGTCTCATGTATCTTAGGTTGGCCTAGAACTCACTCTGTCCTGGGCAAATTTTTAAACTTCTGTTCTTTCTGTCTCTTGTCTCCCAAGCGTAGTAACTGTCACTAGATTCAGCATTACAGTGTGCTTTTAATTTGCTTTCTACTTTTTTTTTTTTTTTTGGTTTTTACGAGACAGGGTTTCTCTGTATTGTTTTGGAGGCTGTCGGTCCAGCCCGGCCTCGAACTCACAGAGATCCGCCTGCCTCTGCCTCCCGAGTGCTGGGATTAAAGGTGTGCGCCACCAACGCCCGGCTTGCTTTCTACTTTTAAGGTAATTGTTATGTTCAAATATAATTTCTAGGGCTAGGGAGATGATTCCGTGGAGCTGACTCATGTTCTGTGCTCCTGTGAAGGCCTGAGTTCAAATCCCTAGAACCCATGGGAAGCCAGAGACAGCAGTGTGAGTCTGTAATCACCGCACTCCTATAGTGGAGACACAGGACTCCTTGGAGATTCACACGACAGCTAGAAGTAAGCATGAGACTGAGACTCCAACAAGGTGGAAGACTCCACACCTGAGCTTGTCCTGCGCTCTCTGCATGTACTCTGTCACATAGTATGAACACACTCAGGCACCTAGACATGCAGAGAGAGAGGCAGAGAGGGGAAACCCCTTAATTTTCCGGGGGCCTGGCATCCTGCAGACCCTATACTTCTCCCCCACTGTCCTAAGAGCCTGATTTTGGCATCTCCACTTTGCAGAAGACAAAGCAGGGCTTAGAAAAATGGAAACCCATCTTCCCATGTCAAGCATATTTGGGGAATCAGGGCTGTCAATGCCAGTCCTGTAGGTTATGCTCCTCCATCTTATCCCCTCTGTTAGCAGGAGAGACCCTAAGAGGTTAGTAATGTCTGCATGACTGGGCATATGTACAGAGAAATAAACCAGCTATAGAAGAGCTATATCTAGGAGAGGATCATTGGCTTTAGAAAGGGCTTGGCTTAGAATTGCTTTCAAAATTAGACCTAGAATTGAAGGGGATTAACTGAGCAATTTGATTTGTGCAGGTTTTCTCCTATGGAGGTAAATGCAGTTTTCAGGGCTCTGACTGGCAGGAAAACGTAGGGGATGTATGAGCATCAGTCTGCTACCCCGTAGGGAACCTGGGGGAGCAGAAAGCATCAGTACCAGAGCATAGAAAAGATGCAGGGTCTGGATTAGACAGGAAAGAATGCAGAGACAAAAAGTGGCTTCCTGGGTTGGGGAACAATACTCAAAAGTATGAGGACCTGATTTGATCCCCAGAAGCCACATAAAAACAAAACAACATGATATGGGAGGCTCTCTCAGCTGGGACTCTTGGGAGAGGGCCTAGGTCCTGCCCTGGATGAAATGACAGTCACTGGAGATCCACCATGGAGGGCCTCACCCTCCCTGGGGATCGGAGTGGAGATTGGATGGGGGACTGGGGGGCCTGGTGGGGAGGGTGGGGAAGGAGGGGAGGGAGAGGGAGCTGGAATTAACATGTGAAACAAGATTGTTTCTAATCTAAAAAAAAAAAAAAAGATGAATGTGCCCAGAATGGCGGAATGTGCTTGTAATTTCATCCCTGGAGAAGCCGAGACAGGGAGATCTCTGGGAATCTATAGCCAGGCTAGCCTATTTGGTGAACTCCAGGCCTGTGAGAGACCCTGACTGGGGGTGGGTAAGGATGGACAGCTCCTAAGGAACAATGCCTGAGCTTGTCTTCCGACCTCTGCGTTACTCAAGCGCATGTGTACTCACCAGCACGCACACACACGCGCGCGCACTCACACACACACACACACACACACACACACACACACTTTCTTGGGGGTAACTTGCTGACTTTGAACTTTCGTAAAGAATTCCAATTCACCAGTGCAAGTGGAACAAGTGTGATATACCTTCCAGAAACTGAGAAGACATCACACATTTGAATATCGTATACTAGCTGAATTAGAAAGAAGGGCAGAGGTGATGTCTAGAGAGATGTGCGGAGGGGTGAATTAGCTGATGGTGGAAAGTTAAGTAATGCATGTAGCAACCAGACAACAGAAATGCAAAAGGGAGAGCAGAAATAAAATCACGAGAAGAGAGGCTTTTTTTTTTTAATAATGCTAAATGCCATTGTCATCAGCAGGCTGCTGGCCTTGAGTGGACAGTCTCTGGTAGATGGTTATTTAAGGGAAGGCCCTCTGAAAGGTTGTAAACCAAACAGTTATACGGTTGAGAGGAGCCCCACACTGAGCTATAGACAGGCCTTCTTCTGTTCCAGGAGGGACTGGGCTGGGAGGCCACTGCCAGCCACTGTAACGGCTTGGTTAAGTGTTAAGGTCCTGTGGTGGGACTAGAGAATAGGAACACTATACAGAATGAGTGAGGCTCGGATGCTGGGGCTTTGGCTCTGCAGGTAGAGTGCTTGCATAGCATGCACAAAACCCTGGCTTTGATCCCCGGCACTGAATTAATCTGATGTGGTAGCACACACCTGCAATCCCAGCACTCAGTACGCAGAAGCAGGAGGCCCAGGGGGAGTCAAAGGTCATACTCAGCTACCTAGCGAGTTGGAGGCTACACTGGGCTGACTCAAACCAAAGACAGGGCTTTGAGACAAGTAGTTTGAGGGAGGAGGAAGGGGAGTGAGGAGGACTGTGAAGAACTTATTGTAATTTTCTCACTGTCACTGTATCTTTCCGAGTTCAATCTACTCCCCCATTTTAATGTATTTGAAGAAACACCCAGAGTAAATGAGATAATGGGCCCAAAATTAATATTAACTTTTGCTGACATAAAGGGTTAAGTGCCTTTGCCATCTGTGCAGCCCTAAGTCTGTCCTTAAAGTAACTGAGTCAATTTCTCCTTTGAAGATAGCGATAACTGATTGTCATGGAAACGAAAGCGCACTAGTTCAGGGCCCAAGGGCTTGGCATCAAATAGGTGCACAGCAAACTGCAAGGTTCTTTTCCTTCTTAACCCGTGAGTCACCGGTCGGAGGCTGGCACATGGCAGGCTCTTTAGAAATGTTTGAATTCGGGCTATAATGTCCAAGACAGAGGGGGAGAGGCAGAAGTTTCCCATCTCCGTCCGGGGGAGAGCTCTCTGCTACCTCATCTCGGGCCTACAGCATCCAAGGTTCCTCCAGGTCCGCCCCACTCTTTGCCCTGGGGGCCACGACACTCACCCTCTCTACCCCGCGCCACGTCCAGCTCTGGTGGTTCTCGGTCCTGCCTGCAGCAGCGGGAGATGCGGGCCCCAGGCATAGTTTTCTCATCCCGTCATGGGCGGGAGTGCCTTCCTTCCCGGTCACGTGCACTGGCCAGCAGCTGGCGCTCTTTTTCCCTTCGGATTTCAGAAAGACTTCCAGCGGCAGCGACAACTTGGGTGTGTCGATACATTTATGTGTGGAGAAGTTGTGGGAGCGTTTGAAGGGTTTCGTACTCGAGTCATGGATATTGGTGTGTTTGCCAGTGTCTGCAGAACCATCTGTGTGTACACGTGGGCATCTATCTCTCGGTGGATCCAAGGCGGTCGGTAGAGAACATTTCTGTGTACACTGGATGTGTGTGTACTGGAAAGTGATTACAAATTATACACACGTGTGTAATAGTATGTGCGTGCATAGGTCATGTACCTAAGCATGCATTAGACCCCAGTATGCACGCATGCGCGCGTGCGCGCACGCACACACAGAGAGAGAGAGAGAGAGAGAGAGAGAGAGAGAGAGAGAGAGAGAGAGAGAGAGAGAGAGAGAGAGAGAGAGAGAGAGAGAGAGAGAGAGAGAGAGAGAGAGAGAGAGAGAGAGAGAGAGAGAGAGAGAGAGAGAGAGAGAGAGAGAGAGAGAGAGAGAGAGAGAGAGAGAGAGAGAGAGAGAGAGAGAGAGAGAGAGAGAGAGAGAGAGAGAGAGAGAGTATTTTCTCTGGATGTTAATGTCGGCGCACATGGGGACAGGTGATTCTGCGCTCCAGCCTTCATCTCTCTCCTCTGCAGACAATGACTCTTTTCTCACCCCACTGACTCTCAGGCCTACTTCAAACCATGCACAGAGAGATGGGACCCACTGGATGGTCTCAGCCCTAAACACAGGTCGATTCCATCTCGACGGTAAGCAGATACTAGAACATTACCCAGAGGCCTGTTACTAGCCTCTCTCCATTCCTTACCCTGCTCTCTTCCTCTAGCTGCTAGTGAACCACTGGGCAGTAGGAGCATCTGTCTAACAGCTGTCACAAGATGCGAAGTTTATAGACAGAATTTTAATGCACATATGCCTTCAAAGTCCAATGCTGGTTCCACCACCCTAGACAAGTCAGTGAACTGCATCGATTGCATTTCACTTTCTGAGAAGTGGGAAAAGTAATAATGATCTCACCTGCACCTGTCTTCCTTCCTGTAGCCATGACACTCACCCATAAGGCATTTAGGAAGCTAACAAGCTATGCAGAGACACATTCTTGATATTACATAAATTTGTAATGATAATAAATGTTATACTAATAATATTATGATGTCTTCTCTAAAGCATTACATGTTATATAGCATAAAATGAGAAATGATATTATAGGGCGGGCAGTGGTGGTGCACGCCTTTAATCCCAGCACTCAGAAGGCAGAGGCAGGAGGATCTCTGTGAGTTCGAGGCCAGCCTGGTCTACAAGAGCTAGTTCCAAGATAGCCTCCAAAGCCACAGAGAAACCCTGCCTTGAAAAACCAAAAAATAAAATAAAAAGTAAAATAAAAAGAAATGATATAAAGAGATGAGTTAGTGGGTTCAATGTTTACTCAACAAATTTTAAAAATTAAATTGCATTTTCTTATTTATGTGTGTGTGTAGAGGTCAGTGGGTCTCAGACAGGAATGCCTAGATGGTGGTCACAAGTCCACCCTCCCATGTGGTCTCCATGAAGGGTACCAATTTTCTTCTGAAGCATTAACTTCAGAGACAGAGTCCTATTCTGTCTTGAGCCATAGCTTCCTGCCACTTGGAAAGAGCCTGCTTGTGACAAGAGACAATGGCATTGCAATATAAGAAGAACTGGAAAGTGCAGAGTGCTGTGGCTACTTTATTAAAGCCTTTGTTCTGATCCTTGTAATAGTTGTGATAGAAGTCCCATTCTCTTAGTCTTCCTCTCTCTTTAAACTAGCTTCAATGAGTTCCTGTCAGTCACTATAGAAGGACATCCACTGCAGTATTCTCCCATGCCTAGTTCGAGCCTTCCTCTTGTAGGAAGTTACTCCAACACAGAATGGTGTGAACAAAAAGCTTTCTTTGAATTGTTAACTGATGAATTATTAACTGAGGAGAGATTGGGTCCCCACAATCTCTCTGTGTTTCTCTTCTGAACTCTGAGGATGCTGCGTTGATAGTTTGACAGGTTGTAGGTGTAGCAGCACACCATAGACACAGCAAGCAGTGTGAACCAGCCTCCAGCGTGCTCACCCAAAACATCACTATCAAAAGCCCTCCTCAGTGGCCTCACCCACTGGCAAGAATCATGTACTGACTTGTGTACCTCTTGCTTACATTGGGTAGATAAGCAGTCCCTGGTCTAGGCTGGATCTGAGTCTTTAGACTCACTAAGGAGGAAAGGTCCTGTAAGAGAATTTAGGTCAAGGTTCCCATTCTATGCACAATGCCAGGAGACCCCGAGACTGTTAGTGACTTGATAGCTGTGGAGTAAAATAAAATCCAACATCTTCTGACTTACACCCATAGCTAAAACATGGATCACCCTCTTTGCCCTTTTCAAGCCTCCTCTTACTCCACTCTTGGCACAAACGTGTCTACAAGCCATTATTGAGTCATTCCAAAAGCTGGTGGCCAAGACCCAAGAATTCAGATGTTTATTTTCAATACAGGGCTTAGTGATGGTGAAGTTCCCCAGGGTGAGGTCATTTGAGATGAGGTGTCAGTAATGAAGCAAGCTTGGAGAGACAGCTGTTGGTAGGGTGGGCACACTGTCATTGTATAGACTTCTGAGTTGGAGGTCTTGAGGAACTGTGCTCATGGTTTTAATGTCATTTGATGGAAAAGATCAAGTTAAAAGGCCATAATATTGAAACAGACACTAGCTACTTGTGTCACTTAGGATGAAACAAGTCATTCAGTCTTGTTTTGGTGTTGTTTTAGACATAGCAGCTATGTTTCCAGGAATTTGTTCTGCAAGTATGCTGTATGTGTTTCAACCCGTTTGAACTAACAAAGAACTTTAAACACTTTAGGGAGCAAGTTAAATAAATCATTACACACTTGTATACAAACAAAATTTCACAAAAGCAAAACCCAACAGGGAACAGAAAAGATTCCATCCGAGTGTGGTGGAGCACACCTTTCTTATCTGAATGTGGTGGAGCACATCTTTCTTTCAGCACCCAGGAGGTTGAACAGGAGCATCATGAGTTTGAGTGCAGCCTGGGCTACCAAGTGAAATGGTGGGTTTTTGTTTGTTTGTTTTGTTCTGTTTTTTAAGTTACTAATGAAGTGAACCTTGTTCCCTAGAGAGAGAAATTGGAAAACTGGAGAGAGGCATATTTGTTTTCCACTCTGTGCCTTGGAATGATGTGTGTTTGAAAGCCATGAGAGTGCTTTACTAATACACTATCCTGCTTTCTGATAAAGTGAAACTAGGGGACTGCGTGGCAGTTCTTACACACTCTTCCTTTGCTGTTATGGATGGCCCAGATCCGTGGGTGTGGCAGAGACTTCACAAAATTAGCGGTGAACTCCCTACAGTGACGCATTTAATTAAGGAAAATAGTGAAAATGGAAGTTCATTCTTCCATTGCACAGCAGAGAGGAGTGGGGCACAGTGATGGGTCTTCCCCAGGTTACATTAGTGAGAGGGAGCTGAGGTGACCTCACCCCTTGACCCTGGCAAATCTCCTCTCCTAGCGCATGGATAGAGTAGTTTCCATGGGAAGGGAAGGAAACAGAGGGAGTCTCTAGAGCAGATGGTTTCAGGAAAGCTGAAGCCCTGAAGGGACTGGAGCTCTGGCAGAAATGAAATTAGACCAAAATAGATACTGCATGTATGTCTTCAACAGGAAGTGGCCAGAAAAGCTCCAACTAAATTCCAGATGTAACTTTCAGAGCTGTGGCTGGAGAAATTTCATTTTTAGAATCAGATGAAAGAAAGAAAGAGAGAGAGAAAGAAAGGAGAAGGGTAGGAAGGAAGAAAGAAGAAAGGAAGAAAACAATAAAGGAGAAAATGAAGGAAGGAAGAAAGAAGACAGGAAGGAAAGAAAGAAGGAAGGAAGAAAGAAAGAAGAAAAGAAGAAATAAAGATATAAAGAAAGGCAGAAGAAAAACAAAGGCCCTTGAGACAGATTTTCAAATACATGGCTCAGAAACCAAAAAACTGGGCATTACAAGCTCATGCCTGTAATCCCAGCACCTGTGAGACTGAGGAAGGAGGACTACTATGAGTTTGGGGCAAGCCTGGGCTACATAGGGGTGGCAGAGTGAGGCCAGGGTCAAAAAACAAAATAGACATATGATTGAAGGAGTGCCTCAAACTGTTTTGCAGAATGAAGCTTTGAGGAGAAGGTATGGACAGGACTTGCCACGTTTCTGCCAGTGTAACCATATAATCTTGGGAGAGCAAAGCCTAAGTAAAGTCTCCATATCTGCCCTTTGGCTGCGAGGAAAAAGCAGAAACCCCAGATTAGGAAGTGAGATGTGAATGAACTGTATACTCGAACTGAGCTTGGTCTGCAGCTGCTTGGATCAGGAGGAACTCAATACTTTTAAGGACACTCAGAAAAGACTTCTGCATGTTAGGTATACTCAACCCACACCTGGCAGATGTATTTGCCCACAGTAAACTATAAATGTGTGCATACTCATTTCATGATTTATGCCTTCAATGCCATGGAGACAGACAAGCTGAGTTTTGGACCTGAGATGGTTGCAAAGTGCCACATGTGTGAGTTACAGCGTAAAATAAAACATGTTCATCAGAAAAAAAAAGTCAAAAGAAAACCAATTAAAAATACAGAACCTTGCTATGTGGCCCTGTCTGACCTTGAACCTGAGCATTATGTAATCCTATGGAACATCATGATAATCCATTTCATTAATGACATAATGCAGATTGGCTCTAAGGTCATAACAAGTAGCCTCCAGGATTTAGTTAAAATGGTGTGAACCAGAGAACCAAACTTGTTGAAATTTCTGATGTTCTAATTAATACTCTGGAACATATTGCAACAGTCATCTCATGGCCAAAGGCAAGTTACTATTTCTCACTACTTATCATGGTGGTGAAGCACCATTCTTGGTAGCCTTTGGAGTGGTATTTCCCAAGTATTACCAAGTAATCCATAATCCAGAGACCAGAGCATGAGAGGCTTTAAGCAAGCCTGGCTTTAGTGCTAGCTGCGTGGCCATCTGAGTGGCCAGCTTCAGACCCAGCAAATCCAATGACACTTGATTGAACAAATAGAGATTCTACACGGAGCCTGTGGCAAATGCCAACAGAAGAATTAAAATCTCCAGGGAATTTAAGAAAATCCATACTCTGAGACATAGCTCATGTTGACGATGGAAATAATGCTACCTGAAAAGTCTAAGATACTTTATTGAATATAGAAATCACTTACTGAGAAGAAGCTCTATTGTCCTCTCAGCGGCCAGGATCTAACACAGAGAGATTTACTTTCCCTTCTCCTTTTATTCCTTACCTGTCCCACGTTTTCCTGTCCATGCCCAAAGGGAATGTGAGTGTCCCCTACATCACGATCTTCTGCTAAGTCTTGTGAAGACCAAGTCCTTTACCATGGAACTGGATGGTACTTGATCCATCGGGTCATAAATTGGATTAGTGAATGTGAAACAGAGGAGACAAGGGATAAAGATGTGGAAGGCATAAGATTGACCTGGGTAGTGTAATAAAACAGTTCAATTCTTCTGACACACCACACCCACAGTGCAGCAGCTGCCTCCTCCTCCTCCTCCCTCTCCTCCTCCTCCTGCCCTTAGTTCATAAAACTGTTCGCTGTGCAATCCTGACCACCTGAGCTTGATCTGACCCCAGGAACCCAAGTAAAGGAGGAACTGACCCCACTAAGGTCTGAGCGGCACACGTGTGCCAAGTCACATGGGCATGCACAAGCACCACAAACACACGTCACATATACATACATCATGAACAAACAAGGCTTAAAATACACAAAATAAAACATGGGAGATAAAGTTCTGAAAATGTAGAGAGGGCTTTTGCTAGAAAGACGTAATAAATAAATAGAATTGTGACTGTTCCAACCAATCAAACTGATGCTCCATCTAAAAAAAAAAATAAACATCGGCCGGGCGTTGGTGGTGCACGCCTTTAATCCCAGCACTCGGAAGGCAGAGGCAGGCGGATATCTGTGAGTTCGAGGCCAGCCTGGTCTACAGAGCGAGTTCCAGGACAGCCTCCAAAGCCACAGAGAAACCCTGTTTCGAAAAACAAAAACACAAAACAAAAACAAAAACAACAACAAAAAAATAAACATCCTCAAATGCCACAAACCAACTGCCTAGTTCTGATTACAGAGAGGAAAATGTCTTTACATTGCTAGTGCCACAAAATGTAACAATTAAGCAAATAAAATATGACTTCTTTGTGTGGAGAATGAAAAGGTTCTATAAGGACAATCTCTACAAGTGTTTGATTTTATAGAGGAGAAAATCGAGGCCCAAAATAAGTAAGAGTTGCCCAAAACCATGTAACAAAACTGGAATCAAAACTTCCCCATTACTCATTCACAATATTGGAAGCTGAGCAGATGAGGCTGGTCTCTGGATGGCTTGCAATGGGAAGTAGCCTCCAACAGGGAGAATGTGTGGCCTCAAGGAGGGGAAGGGGAAAAATGAGTATGGCAGCGTTTAGCAGCTGGAGCAATGGGATGGAGATCTTTTTCCTTTGGCTGTTGGTTGAATTTTCTGGCACCTTCTCTGCCTAATGTAGCAAAACTGATTAATGGAAGAGTTAGACATATCCTGGTAATTTGCCCTGCACAGCATCTTTCATTCCAGTGAAAGCGCTGGAGCTGAATCTAGTTAAGAGAGGGCCACATGGACCGGCAGAAGGGGCCAGAAGGAGAGTGCCTCAAGGAAAACAAGGGGGCTATAATGAAAAGCAGCAAATGACCAATGAACACTGAGCAGTCATTTTGTCAGTCTCTTGTAAAATTACATTTATTTATTTAATTGGGGCGGTGATCATGTGTGCTGCAGTGTACACGTGGAGGTCGGAATCGGTTCTCTCTTTTCAGAAGTTGGTTCTGTCCTTCCACGGTATGGATCCTAGGGATGAAACTCAGGTCATCAGCCTTGATGGCAAGGGCCCTTACCTGCTGAGCCATCCTCTCCTTCCACTCTTCTCCCCCCAACTCTTCTTTATTCTTGTTAACACATTTATACAGCAAGGAAGTCACTGAGTCAAGAGCAGAATCCATTTCTGAATCAGAGTATGATTTGGGATAAATCTGTAGAACGAAAGAAAGTAACCTTAGGTCTCTTTAGTCTCTGAAGCTAAAGCACAAAAGACAACGAATTACGAAACAGCTCTACGCCGGCCCTCAAATTCAGATGGATGTTGGAAGCCTTAAACTCACTTTTCTCACTGTTTTCTAGGTATTAAAGTCAAGCTTCATGCGTTTTCCTACAACATAGTGATCAAAAGTCTGTAGACTAAGTGTGCAGAGTCTGTGCTTTTAACTGAATTATAATCAAAGGATCACGAAGCTTATACTTTGGAAGTATACTCTGTTTGTTTTTGATTCCTACCGGCTTATGGCTAAATGATGATATAGTCAAACCCTTAGGTATGGTCTGGTGCTAATTGGCAAGTTTGAGACATCAGAAGTCCAGGGTGGGCATCGTAGATTTGAGTTAATACCCTTTTCTTTGAAAAAAATTTTATTATTTTTGAATTATGTATATGTGTATATGCATATATAAATTAATTGTGTGTGTGTGTGTGTGTGTGTGTGCGCGCGCGCGCGCGCGCTCACATGAGTAGGGGGAGCCTGGGTGGGGCCAGACAATTAACTCCTCTGGAGCTGGAGTTACAGGTGGTTGTGAGTCTCCTGGTGTGGGTGCTGGGAACTGAATTTGGATACCTTGTAGGTGCAGTACACACCCCTAACTGCTGAGCCGTGTCTTCAGGCCCTAATAACCTTTCTATAAATGTTTAATGTCACATTTGTGGTATCTCAGTACGTTTGCTTCTTCCCAAGGCTGCAGATAGTGACACCTAGTGGTTATAAACTATCATAATCTGGCTGAACTGTTTATGTTAGGAAAAAAAAATCAGAAAAGAGCACATATGATTATTATTATGGGAAATGTATTTGTGAGTAGATTTAAAAACTTTCGCTTTTTAATTTAAATGTCATGTGTATGTAGACCATCTTGTTTATAATTTATACTCGGGTCACTCAAGACAGTTGAGCTGCCATAGAAAAATACACACAAGGGAAAGTGTGTTGTGAGGAAGTCGGCGTGAGTGAGCCAGTCAGGGAAAGCAGGTGAGGCCAGTGCACACTGGTTCATAGCAACTGCCTGGAACTCGGGTAGGAATGGGGTCCCCTCATCTTACCACAGGACTCTTAGCCAGAATCTTGTCGAGGAGCAGGAAGCCATCAGCAGGCTTGCTGACTTGGAGCACTGAAATAATTAAAAACAGACTACCTGTTTATCAGGCTATTTACCAGCATTATGGTATCCACAGCATGGGAGACAAGGGAATAGACACTGAGACTAACTCCAAAGAGTATGGTTAGAATCAAGTGTTAGGTAAGGCGTTCCTTCTCCTACTGTATTGCTTCGTGTTCTATAATATTGATTAGCCTCCCAGTAACAACCCTCATAGAGAAGGGAGGGGTCACTGTCAGTGTGTCCTTAATCATGGGAGATCCCCTCTTTCTTCTCGGCTCAGTTCCTAGCCTATCATACCATATTCAGTGTTGGGGTGTTTATTTATTTATTTAACTTGTTCTAATAGTATTTATTTTTAGTTATGTGTATGTATGAGTACAAGTGTCATGAGTACAGGTATCCTTGGGAGCACAGGTGTCTACTGCCCCTGAAACTAAAGTTACTTGTTTTAAGCCACCTGATGTGGGTGCTGGGAACCCTCTGTAAGGTGGCGGTGGCACATGTCTTTAAATCCCAGCACTTGGGAAGCAGAGGCAGGTGAATCTCTGTGAGTTTGAGGATAAACTCCAAAGCTATAGAGAAACCCTGTCTTGAAAAACAAACAAAAAAATCAAACAAACAAAAACCAAAAGAACAACAACGAAAGAGCAGGACACATGCTTAACTGCTAGGCCATAGCTTCATCCCGTTTATTTATTTCTATTTTAAGTGCGTGTGTGTGTGTGTGTGTGTGTGTGTGTGTGTGTGTGTGTGTGTGTTTGTCTGTATGGCAGCATGTGTGTGTGTAGTTGCCCAGAAAGGCTAGAAGAGGGCATCAGATCTTCCGGAACTGGAATTATAGGTGGTTCTGAGCTACCCAATGCTGGTTCTGGGCACAGAACCAGGCAAGAGCAGAAAATGTTCTTAAGAGCTGAGTCATTTCTTCAGCAACTTTTTCTTTTATTTAAATAATTTTTTCCATTTATTTTACATACCAATAAGTTTCCCCTCCTCCTCCCCTCCCGTCTCCTCCCCTTTCCTATCTACCCTTCCCCCCATCCACTCATCTTTAGTCTCCATTCAGAAAGGGACAGGCCTCCCATGGGTTTGCACAAAGCATGGGGCATCAAGTTGAGGCAGGACCAAGCTCGTCTCCTTATGTCCAGGTGGGGCCAGATAATCCAGCATGGGGAACAGGTTACCAAAACCTAGCTAAGCATCAGGGAGACTTATTTTTCTTTTTAAGTAATTTATTTTCTTTACTTGGTTCTGAGAAAGGGTCTCATGAAGCTGATCGTGGAGTTACAAGGTACTTATGTATTTCATCAAAAAGTTACACACACATAAATCTTTTGTGTCAGCCAGGCTGTGGTACTTAACCTTTTCTGCTGTTTGTATTCCTTATTTTCAAACCAGATTTTCATATACCGTATTAAAAGTAGCTAAAACTTCTAAACACAAAACTCAGTTTACCAGAAATATAAAAAGAAAGAAAAAAGAAGTTACAGCTTAATATTACAATTGCATTAAGAATTTATTAAAATCTATATATTAAAAAGAAGTATAGCCAGGTGTGGTAGCACACACCTTTGATCCAAGCACTTGAGAGGCAGAGGTGGGAGGATCTCTGAGTTTGAGGCCAGCCTGCTGTACAGAGTGAGTTCCAAGAAAGTCCGGGCTACACAAACAAACCCTGTCTCAAAAAACCAAAACCAAAACCAAAGCAACACAAATCAAGAAAGAATCAACAACACACAAACACACACACACACACACACACACACACACACACACTAGCTCACAGCGCCTCCTGCTGCTGTTGCAAATAGCAGATGTCCTTACTCACACTAATACAGCCTTTGGATTGGTTTTGAAACTGGTATAGAAGTGTTGAAAATCCCAGCTCACATAGCTATGTAGTTGCTAATAACATGAAGATTCCTAGAGCGGTCTTGGTCAGACTGGGAAAAACTGGGAGCTGAGTACACCAGGAATCCTCAGGCTTCATCATTTCAAACTCCACTAGGATGTGGCCACTGACTCACAACCCGGCAGGGTCATTTTTTTAAATCAAATTGCCTTTTAGAGAAAAATCTAGATGAAAAAGAAAAGGCTCTTAGTTAAGGTTTCTATTGCTGTGAAGAGATACTATGACCATGGAAGAAACTCTATATAGGAAAGCATTTAATTGGGACTGGCTTGAAGTTCAGAGGCTTAGTCCATTATCAGCACAGTGGGAATTTGGTGCTGAGCTGGCAGACATGGTGCTGAAGAGGTATCTGAGAGTTCCACATCTAAACAGGCAGGCAACAGGAAGAGAGTGTGACACTGGGCCTGGCCTGAACATCTGAGACCTCAAAGTCCACTCCCAGTGACACACTTCCCCCAACAAGGCCACACCTACTCCAACAAGCTCCACCTGCTCAGCAAGGCTCCACCCACTCCAACAAGGGCTACAGCTCCTAATAGTGCCATTCCCTGTAGGCCTATGGGGGCCATTTTTACTCAAACCACCACAGTTTAGTATTCGTTTACTTCCGTGGCCCAGGTCTCCCACAGTGAAGTAGCCATAGAGAAGCTTCTGAGCTGTTGAAGATATAGATTTCCATTGCTTCGCCTGTACCCTCCTTGCCTGCCACAGACACTTCTTTGAGAGAAGGGAAGGTGGTGAAGTTCCTTCTCTCCAAGCATTTTTGCCAAAACAGAAACTTCCCAAGAAAAGCAGACAACTTTCTCTAGCAGACAGCATGTCAGGGCCAGTCCTGTGCATAGATGCACCGTGCTCATTCAAGGGTTTGACTGAGTCTGCAAGGTAGGCCAGGTAAACCCTAAACTCTTACTTTCAAAGCCATCCACCCAACTGTTGCTTTGGTGAAGGAAATGACTTACCTCTTCATACATCTCAAAAACCTGAGTTAAGTATTTGGCCCCTAGAGAGCGTCCCCTCTTCACTATGGGAGAGGAGGAGGCTGTGGTCCATACCGATTTCTTCCAGGAAAGCCTGAAACAGGTGGCAATGTGGAGCGTGCCCTTCAAGGGAATGTATCACCCTCATCACTGTAAAGAGTGTGAGCATTTCTGCTCGGATGGAAAGGTATCCTGGCAGTCGGGGGCCAAGGAATATCACAATGTCACACCACACAGGAAACCTCACGTAAGCACTGCAGCTTGGACAGAAAAGTATTCTGGCAGTCGGGAGCCAATGCATAGCACAAAGTCAGTGAAAGTACAGAAACTTACAGCCCTGCTCCAGGGAAAGGTTTCCCTGATGTAATAGCTCTGCCCCAGCAGGGGAGGGCTTGCCAAGTTGTTTCAGGTCCCTCCAGAGGAAGGTTTCCCCAGCCAAAGTGTTAACAGCTCTGCTCCACACTGCCCAGGCTCTGTCTCTGTTCTGGCAAAAGAAGGTCTTCACCCAAACCTCATTCAGGAGATTTACTGTAAGAGAAGAATACAGGAGGATGGCTGCCTCTGACTGGATGGGAAAAAAAAAAGCAGCAGCAAACCGAACAGGCAGAGGCCTTATATAGGGCTTCTTCTTAGGGACAGAGTTTTTCCAGGGTGGAGATTTTCACCGTGGGAATTGGTCAGATTTCAATCACCCATCTTGGACAAACTCACAGATTAACTAGATTTTGGGTTCTGGGATTAGTTGGTTTCATGCTCAGTTGGTCAGGGGCAGATTTAGCTCTGGGTTCAGGGTCAGGGTGTGTTTCTCTCTCTGGTTCTGGTTTCAGGGCCAGGGTGTATTTCTTTGGCTGGCTGTTTTACCCTATACCTCACACAAGATATTTATTGGGAGCTGCTTCTGCTCAGGTGAGAAAGAGCAGGGAAGAGAGCAGAGGGCAGGGTTTACATAGACTGTCTTGGGGAGGGGATAGAACGTTTTAGAGTGCAACTTTCCAGGGTGGAGATTGGTGGGATTTCAAGTCCAGAGATTGGGACTTTTTACTCTGCGGGGTGGGGGGGCTGGGTCTAGCAGTTAAGAGTGTTCTCGTTAGGCTCCAGGGGCTTACAAACAGAGCATCCCTCAGTTCTGTAGACAGTGTCCTGGTGACAAGTACACGAGAATTCAACAATGACCGTGATATTCGGTACCTCTTCTTTCACACAGGCAACAAAGTCCATTTTTTCTCCTAGCAAAGAGAAGGCACCATCAGTAATCATGGAGCCACACAAGTCAAGTGCCAGGCAGTGTTTCAGAAAAACATCTCTGAAGAGACAGGACACATTGACTCCTTTCATGGAAAGCTACAAATGTTGCAGAACAGCAACTCCTGTGGTTTCTCTCCCTTTTACATGTCATAGGAATGCCATCAGCTGGCGGCAATCAACCCTGTCAATTGCCTCAGCAAGCTAAACTCCCACCTTCAGAGGACTGGCTCTGAGACCTTCTAGAATTTGCTATCCTGTTAATTTTATCAACTCTAGAATGGATCGTTGAACAAAAAGGCAGTTACTGAAGCTTTTTCTAGGCATCTGGGCCCAGAAAGACTTATGCTATTTTGAGTGCACAAGATTTGACTAATTTTCCAGCTGTGGGGTGAGGACTCTTCTCCTGGGCACATTGATAAGCAAATTGATATGATGCGGGCAGTAAGGTACTCTCATGTGATCCAAGTGGTTTCAACTGACCAGATGGTGCTGCTATATGCTTCGGGCTACTGAGATCATGCCAGGCAACACCACCATGCTGATTTTGGAAATGGCCTGACAGTTTTGATGGCTAGAGGTTATCACTTGAAAATATGTTGTACACAACACACACCGTGGATGCTGAGTGCCATCCACCCCCACTGTGCAGGTGAACCAGTAATGAACAGTCACCATCCTATTTGCATTTCTTTGACATGGCACATAAAAATTCACAGGGAATGCTCCAGAAACACCATGGAATTGTGCTTTGGAGTAAAAATACAACCCTGCATTTAAATAAAGCCACACTACAAGCTAGTCTGTCACTATATGCTATACTGCACACATCAAGAAATGTCCTGTGTCATGACTGTTCAAAGTAAGTCAGACAGCATGGCAGTCCAATTCAGTGCCAGCCACTTCGATAGAACTAATGCCATGGCATAAGTGATTCATCAACAAGTCACACATGGGAGAGATGGGCTTAGGCAAATTATTAACACCTGAGTCCTTTACCAGAAAATTGCATTTATGACTTAACGTGTTTCAATAATGTTATGAGTACTATTTGTTAAAATCTTATCTTTTGTGTATCTCCTAGGAAGGACCCTCCATGATCATCTCTTCCATCTATTCTGTTCCAAAGACTTACATTCACTCAGTGAAGGACCACAGAATAGATAAAGGAAGAACTCACTAAATACTTAAAGGCAGGGCAGCTTTTGACAAAGTGGTTCATATTTTTAATAAAGATTAAACAGGCATGTACATCTATTTGATTCCTGCTCAGAATTTGATTCCAACTAAGCAAGAATTTCAACAGGTCTTTACGTCTGATTAAGTCTACTCTGGCACAAAGATAGGCAGTGAAATTGGTTCAGAGCACCCTTGATTCTGGTGTAACATACTGTCCACATATGAAAACAAAGTCAAGAACTTGTTATTGATACATTAAGATAATTTTCATATGAGGACACCCTTAGTTACAATTGGGAGTTTCACAGTACTTGTCGATATAATGTCCCCTCAAGAAAAACGGCCAAAACAGAAGGCAAAACAACAGAATAAAATAAGTAGCATTGTTACGATTTGGCTTACCCCAAGGACAGGTTGTAGAGGCCAGTGAGGTAGATGCTGAGCTCAAATAACTCACCTGCCGAAATGGTGCTATTAAGGCCTCTTCCTGGGAACACCAATTCTTTAGCTCTGGAGTGGGGACCCAGAATCGGTATTGTAAATAAGCATGTTTGCTAATTCTTAAGATGAGAACAGTGATCTACAATAAGAGAAAATCACCAGAACTGCAGGGAGCCCTCCTGCATTATTATCGCAGAACTAATGGATCACTGGGAGTAACAGTGCATTCCTGTGATTCCAACACTTGAGAAGCTGTCATAGGAGAACTGCAAGATGGAGCGAGGCCAGCAAGGGCTACTAAAAAGCTACATATGCCATTTCATTGACCTCTACCCCCACTCCAAACTGGAGACTGAACTCAGGCATGCTAGGAAAGTGCTAAGCCACAAAACTACAGTCCCAATCCATGTACTTGTTTTGATCAAAAAGAGTTTGTACAGGAATGCATTCTTTTCTTTAATTTGCTTCTCCCAGCACCCAGCAGGTGAAGCAGATTTCCCAACCCTCCTAACCAGCTGGGCCCACTTAAGTGTCTGATCTACATATAGTCCCTAACCCGGAGTGGGCTCTGGAGGATTGCACCCACACCATGCTCCAGAACAAACTAGCCTGTTCCTGACAAAGAAGGGCCTGCAAATCAGTGTCTGCTTCCCATTTTAATTAGAAAGAATGAATCTGGAAGGACTCTGGCTGCATTTGCCTCCATGGCATCTTGAGGCATTAAGAGTTTCCATCTTGTGTGATCTTCAGACAGCCATCCTCTACCTGTGGGCCCTTCAGTCTTACGGATGTGTCCACTTTATCATTTGCTTTCTTCAGAATGACATCTTCCGCCTGCCTATGGTACAAGCATGCCAGGCCCAAAGTCAGTATGCCACTGATTCCAGTGACATTCTTGCTCAGGTGCATCAGCTTCCTGTGGCTACGGAGCATGGATGCCAGAGCGTGGCAAGAGATGGAGGTGGACCCGTGCCATTCCAGCTCCAGAAATAACACATTGCAGTCAGCATCTGCCAGTGTCACAGGGTGGGATGACTCCATCGTCCCTCAGCCTGTTGCAACTCAGGTCTGGACTTCTCAGGCTTTTATTGTTCTTGAGAGCTGACGTCATATATTCACAGCAAGCTCAAGTCAAAGAACACTGCCTCAGCACCAGTTTCTGTGGAGGACACGTCAAATATTCCAAAACTTTCCTGAAACGCCTCGACCTTGCATCTTTCACGTTACCCTCTGCCAGGCTCAGGTGGGTCAGCACCTTATTGTGCATGAGAGAGAGGGCAGTTCCTTCACCAGAGACCTCAGTGAGTTTACAGTTCTCCTGCCTTAGTCTTGGCAGTTTGCACTGGGGCTGCTTCAGGGCCGTGGTGAATATCTGCATGAACAGGGCCTCCAGGACGCTGTCAGTCAGAGCCAGCATTTCCAAATCTTCAGTTGTTTCAGATGCAGAGCGGACATCTTGTCACCAGGTGAAAAGAATCTCATTCTTTTGCACCTGAGTTCCATGGGAAGGGTCTGCTGAGCTGGGCCAAAGCTCCTTGCAGAAATTCTTTTGAGAGAATCAGTTTTATTTTCTTCAAATCTCGACAGCGCTTAAGGCAAAAGGCAGATGTCTGAAGGTCTTCCTGGCTCTTGATTTTCAAAGAAACTTTCTGTTACCCAGCAGCACATTCTTTACAAAACTCTCCTCCCGGGTTTCAGTCAGACAGTGGAATAGATGTGATTGCTCATAACATAGTCATTAAAACTGCTTATCACTTTTTCCCCAGTTTTTCGAGACAGGGTTTCTCTGTATTGTTTTGGAGGCTATCCTGGAACTCGCTTGGTAGACCAGGCTGGCCTCGAACTCACAGAGATCCGCCTGCCTCTGCGTCCCGAGTGCTGGGATTAAAGGCATGCTCCACCAGTGCCTGGCTTGCTTATCACTTTTATGGCCTTTAATTTGTTAGCCAAGGATAACTTGCACTTGAAGAATCCTGTTGTGATGCTCGCACACTCTTCCTTTGAAAGACCAGGTAAGAAAAGCCCCATTTGAGCCTCACAGCTTTCTTTCTCTGGACAGTGTGATCAGATCCTGGATGTTTATGAGGCTCAACCGGTGATAGTACATCACTCTTTGGGGGAAAAGGAGAACATAAACAAGGCACCACAACATTCCTGGAAGGTAAACAAGGCCATCACAATGATCTCCTTGGCCTTCCAGCTTGCGAAGAATGTTCACATGAAGAAAGGGGTCTATGGTGGTCTCATTCACCATGACCTGCTGAAAGCCCCTCTTATTAAACACACCTTCAGATTCCATATGCCCTAGGCAGCCCGATGGCACACCTTCCAGTTGCTTTTGGTAATTACTACCGGAAGGTTTCTTAAATATTATTGGGAACAAGTTAGCTAGATACAAGACAAACACAGAGGTTGCATTTGGACAAGCCTTTGTGAGATCTACTTTTTTCCATATTTGTTTTCTTAGACAACAGCATACCACCCAGCATACTACAGGGACCCGATACATGAATAAGAGAGCTGTGTTTTTCATGGTAAAATTCACATCTTGTGAATTACAACCAGAGATAGTTGAGTGTTTCAATCCTATTAAATCCCATCAGGCCTCCACTCTTCTCCACTTGTCTGTTTCCCTCCTCTTCTCAGCATGCTAAAACTCCTGCTTGTCACAGTGGCATCCTGTCACCTCCCACAAGTCTGTCTCAGGGTGGGAAACTCCTTCCACCTGGGAATGTCCTGTTTCGATAGACCTCTTATGCTCCTGTTCAAATGTCTCTCCTCTCCTGTTTGTCCTATCTGTGCTGCCCTTTTACCGTGTTTCTTCTCCATGAAGATGCCAGCAACTCAACAGTGGCCTGGCCTGAGGCAGCATCTGCTCAGGATGCTCTGAGAGTTTTTTAACTTCTGTCTGGATGGGAATGTGTTTGTGGAAGCAGTCATCTTGACCACATGGCCTAGCTGTAGGCCCGCCCACTCTGAGTTACTCCTTCCCCTCAGTCTAAGCAGAGGGACACTCTAGCCAGCTTCTGCAGCAGATCTGCATTCTTGTCACTAGCAGCTTTAAGTCTACTCTGTCTCTTTAAATCTCCTGTCTGTTTGCTGCAACATGAGAATCAGAGATCACACCCTGGTTCTTCTTATGTTTACCCAGTCCTGTTTAATATATGTATGCATACATGTAGCTGCTGTTTAAAATGTAAGCTAACTCTATATGCAACTTAAATTCAACTGTGTGGTCTCAAATATTTCTAAATTGTTATGTACCTTTAAATGGTAGTAAACATTTAAAGTTATAAAGATCTATTTCAAGTTAACAAAATATTTACACCACCTAGTCCTTCCTATAAGCCGTTTACAAAGGTTAAGCTTCTATTACAAGAAGGAATTTTTCTCTACTTCTTTGTCTTTTACAGGTATACATCTAAACTGCTAAGTTAAAATTGGTTACAGTCAGGCTGGAGGGCTCTGAGTAAAACATCCCTTCACAGTCTCACAGCTTGAATCCAGTTCTCCAGACAGATCCTGCACTAATGTCATTGTAGCTATACTAAGTACAGATTAATTACAGGGAAAAGCCTTACCTAGCCACCTATGTGCTTAAGGCAAGTAACTAAAGACAAATTTTGTCTGCTGAGATCTACTAAACAGACAGCCCTCAAATACTTAGAGATCTAGAGAATATGGCATTTAAAATGTTTTATTAGAAAGCTTCCCATAAAAGAGAGACAGGCCAGCAGCTGGCATCGGCTCATTCCCACCAAAGAAGACTGCAGGACACTGAAGACTCCACCCACAAAAGTGGCAACGCTAGCCACTGAGAATCCTGCCTTTCACCTCAACAGCTACAAAGGACTTTTCAGACCATGGACAAGAGGACAGTGGAATCTACTTTCTCCACGTTGCTTGGGTCAACAATAAGCAAGTCTTCCTACAAGTCCTAATCCACAGGTCTCATGCTATCAACAGAAGGCAGGTGTCCTTAAAGCCTCTGCCCTCAACAACTATAAAGGACCTTGAAGGTGGCTGTCCATGTGGCCAGATAGCAAGTCCCTCTCATTCTCTAATAGTTAATTCAGCTAAAATTTTATCCTTTTCAAGAACTCTGATGCAGTTTGGCGGCTAGCAGGTTTTGATATAAATTTTACCATTCCTTTGTTTAAAAAGATGTTTTAAGGTATAAAGTTTATGTAAGAACATAAAACCTTAAGATGTATGAATCTAAAAGTGTTTTAACAAACTTAAGGTGTACAAATGCAAGTTATCAGATTTCTTTCTCGACATGCTACTGTTCATAGTCTTAACATTAGTCACTAAAGTTCTGATAAGCTATTAATCCAACTCTGACAGGGTACTAAACAACATACTATACCACTATATGATAACTACAAGGTCAAGATTAAGGTGCTTTTCATTGTGCTAAAGATAGCTGACAGTTTTAAAAGTGTTAATGCTTTAAACCATATAATTTCTAATATGAGTATTCTGCTAATATATCTAATATTTATGTTTTTAGGGAGCCGAATTGGACCCACCCAAACAGGTCAGATTCACTCCAGATAAATATTCAACCTTTCCCTGGTCCTGGGACTCCCTTCCCTCATCTTGGGACCCCCTGGGGAATCCCTCCCTCATTTTACAATTCTGCCCTCAAGTACCAGGACCTCAGAAAAAAATTTTTTATACACTTAACCTTGTCCTCCACTCTGCCAACATCTTGCCAGGTCTAAAGAGGTGCCAGAGTTTCATACAGCCAGGACTTTAATGAGACAACTAGCTACCTAGGATATGGTGGCACCCCAGATTTCTCAGGTCCCCCAAAGATGGTTGACACCCCAAGTCAGCAGGAAGTAGTCTTGAGAACTCTATGCTCTTATTTCCACTCTGCCATGCAAACTCCCCACCTTTTAAATAATAAGAGATGGGATTGTTGGAACCAGGCATTATGCTGACCCTGTACCCTGATAAAGGGCAGGACACACATATCAGCATTTAGGCAGGTACTTACTTAGGCAGCTCAAAGGGCCCTGTGCGTCATGGCTGTATCACCGTTATGGGGTTGCATAAGGACTCAGTACACATGTGCAAGCTTCCCCTTTTAAGCGAGCATCTCCACATGTTCCCTCTCCCTCTCCCTTCTCCATCCCTCTCTTCCCCCTTCTCTGCTTATTTCTCTCTCTCCCCTCTCTCCCTTTTCTTCTTCTCTTTCCCTTCAATAAACTACGTGAGTTTGTTGAGTCTCTTGGTTCATGTAATTTAAATAAAAGAACAACAGAAGGGATATTTGGCTAAGATTTCAACTCCTTTCCAGGAGGTCAGTCTCACCATAATGAGACACCATCTTAAGACATCTGCAAAATGATGAAAAGACAAGAAAAAGCCTTGAGGTCCTTTCCCAATACTCCAAACTGAGCATGATGGGCATACCTGTAACCCTGTTATTATGGTGGAAGCTCCATCCAAGCCCCCCCTTCCCTATCTCCCTCCAAACTCCGTTGTGTCTCAGAAAGCCCTCCAAATGATGGCCCCCTTCTCCAGAGATGCCCAAGACCATTCCCACAGAGTATTTAAACTACCCCCCAGAAAATAGATTTTTGGTTTTCCGGTCTTTCCTGTCTCCTCTTTAGGGACCAGGATCTATCCCTAGTGCATGAACTGGCTTTTTGGAGTCCATTTCCTATGGGGAGATACCTTGCTCAGCCTAGACACAGCGGGGAGGACCTTGGTCCTGCCTCAGTGTGGTGATGGGACAAAATTCGTTGACTTCCCAGGGGAGGCCTTACCGCGTCTGAGGAGCAAAGAGGAGGTGGGGTGGGGAGAAGGAGGGGAGGGGGGAACTGGGACTGGTATGTGGAAAAAAAAAGATAAATTGTTTAAAAAAAAAAAGATAGGGTCTCACTGTCCAGTCTCGGCTGGCCTGGAACTGGCCATAGAGAACAGACCCTATGTGCCACCTGCAGATGATTGAGAGGCAGAAGATGTAAACATGGCTGGCTGTAGCTGAAATCAATAGCCAGGGCCGGAGTAGGAATGTCGGCACAGGTGACAGCAACTAAGACATCTGCCTGGGAACTTGGCTTTTGTCACTTGCTGGCTGGGACATTTTAGATCATTGTGCGAATGGCAATATCTGCTTTCTGGGTCTGTTGGGCTGCATAATTAGGAGAACAAAGTAACAATTGCTTAGTCTCTCAAGTGCTAGAGAACTGGGGTCCTGCAGCCCAGCTCCAGGCTCAGATGTGGTCCAGGATGCTCCCGAGCCAGTTCCAGGGTCCAGTTCTGTTCTGAGTTCATCCTGGAGCCCAGGACCTCAGAACCAGTACAGGTTCCTTCCAAGCAGGAATCTCAAGGCACTATTACCCCCAGAAGCGCTAGTTCTCGGGCTACAGCCGGTAGGGTTTAATGGAAAGGACCGGACTACTCCTGCGCGCAGGCGCAGTAGTGACGGGTTGAAGCGGTTCTCCAGGGCTGCAAGATGCTTGTACCGTGGCCTGCCTGGGTTTTAAAGCTGTAAACGAAGGAAGATGCTGAGAGGTTTGCATAGTTTCACCTTTATACTTTGAGAGGGCTTAGGCTTTGAGCGTGGAGGTGATCAAGTCCCAGTAATCGGCTTGGAACAATGAGGAAAAGAAAGCTTGTCTACAACTAAATTGAACTTTGGCCATACTCCTAAATTGAACTCTGGCTAACGCCGGCACTCTTTAAATTTCATCGATATAAGTTCCACTGGGCTGTAGAGGTGGCTTAACAATTAGGAGGAGCACTGGTCGCTCTTGAAGAGCACCAGGGTTCCGTTCCCAGAACCCACATGTTGGCCCACCACCAACTCCAGCTGCAAGGGATCTAATTCCTTCTAAACTCCGTGGGCAAGAACTCGGTGCACAGATATACGTGCAGGCAAAATTCCTCACATTCATGAAATAAATAAACCTAAATAAATCCATTGAAATAAGTAATGATACTTTCAAGAGCTTGCACCTGCTCTTCCCATGACTTACAATATGTGGGCGAATGTTCTAGAATAAAACCATCTTGGAGAAAAGAAATTTTCAGTGTGTGTTGTGTGTGATCGACCTGTGGAGTACAGAGATTGGATTCAGGTGGTCAGGTTTGCTGGCCAAGCACCTTTACACTCTGAGCTAGCTCCCTAGCCCTTTTAATCTTCTCGTTTTTTGTGGGGGGTGGCAGGCACAGATGGGGACAAGCTTGTTGCCCTGGAACACCCCAAGTATCCCAGATTGACCTGAAATATGCTGTAATCCTCCTGCCTCAGTCTCTCAAATGACGTCATTATGAGCCAATACACCAGACTGAAAAGACATTTCATTTAAATTTAGAAGACAAGATTGTGTGTGTGTGTGTGTGTTCATGAGTGGTATATATGTATGCCTAATTGTGCACAGAGACCAGAGGAAGATGTCAATGGGATATCTATAGGTCATGGCTAGCTTTTTACATGGTCCTGGGATTCAAATTCAGGTCCTCAGGCTGGAGCCCAGCAAGTGCTCTTCCACTGCGCCCAGCCTAGGGGTTGGCATGATCTCATATTACAGATTTTATTAAAAAAGCTAATGTAGAGACTAGGAAACCTGTCAAAGAAATTGCAAAAGACCCGCAGCCATCTAAGCCAGAAACTGAGGCCTTAACAACTAAAGGAACCAACATTTGAATCTGACACATCTGTTGGTTGCCATGCTTTAACTGCTGGAAATCAAGCAAGCTGTTTGGAGCTAAGCATATATGCTAACTGTAAGATATGAATAACTTGCACTCTGAGAGATGCATTAGAGACACCACCAAAGCTACAGCCCACAGCTCCAACACTGGAAAAGGTGACTTTCTGAGATACTAAAACGAAAGCTTACAAAGCAGGGCACAGTGGTTGCACGCCTGCAACCCCAGCACTTGGGAGGTGGAGGTAGGATGTCTTCAGCTACATATTGTGAGGTTAGCCTGGGTTACCTGAGACCCTGTATAGAAGAAAAAAAAATCAAAGATCCCGTCCACATAAATCTGTTCTGTGCACCCCCAATTTAACAATAATATTTTAGGTATTATAGTTCTAAGATCAGAATAAATTAGGCCTCAGAAAGGAATAGAAATGTTTAAGTTTGATAAGGGATACTGAGGTAAATTTTCTTGACAAACTCAAAAGAAGCCAACCCAGGTTTTTTTTTTTAACACTCCTGTAATCCATTTCTCTACCAAAATAGTAATAGTTACCTGGCACTACAAATACTCAGTTAAATATTCTCAATGAAATCTTTATTGACAAAAGATAATACGTAACATAGACACCAATGACTGACTTTGTGTTAAACCACCTGGGTTGAGGTAGGGACAGAACATAATTTTGACCTTTATAATCAGAGATCTATTTGCATTACAGCTTTATGTGCTTGAGTGGGTACATGAGCATCGCATGTATGTAGAGGTCAGAGAACCTGTTCCTTGGGTGCTGCTCACTGGCCTGGTACTTGCAGATTTGGCTGGGCTGGCTGGCCATCTGTCTGTCTGCCTCCCCAAGACCAACCAATGGTTTTGGCTGGCCTGCTCTCTTTCTCTTTTAGTGGGCCCTGGAGCTCCAACTTACATCCTCAGACTTGCAAGGCAAGCCCTTGTGAGACTGAGTGAATTCCCCAAGCCTGCATTGTCATTTTAGTCTCAGTCTCAATACTGACACCCTGTAATTTGATTCAGTTGCTTTTCCTCTGCCATGTCTGAGATGCTGACCTTACACAAGTGTCCTAGAGGTCAGTTTGGAACGCATTTGTTGAGTCGGTGTACTTAGATCAAGTTCTCATAATCCTATGTGTCAGCATTGCCTTTGCCATGTTTTTAGGCAAGGAAGGCTGAGGATCCCAGCAGTATCAACTATGAAGATGGCAGGAAGCCACTCTTAAGATGTTTTTAAGAACCTTAAGCTTCAAGTTCTTCTCTTCAAATTTTATGAAATAACACCTGCTGGGTATGCAGACTAGGTAGCTAGATGTTTAAGATCTTTTGTAACTGTTATGAAGACATACAGTAGTAAAAACCACATCTTTTATCATAAAAGGGAGTTTATGTCTAAAAAATTCATGTTCAACAAGGTAAGTGTGAAGCAGTCAATGCTGACCATTCAAAAGCTAAGCATTTTAGATGTAAGGCATGAAGAATGCAAGAAAACCCAAAATTTAATAACCAAGTGAAAAATAGATTTATTATTCATATTATGGAGAACACATTGTTTTTATATGCATTGGAGATTTCTTTCTGGTGATGCAGACATAGGAAGAGTATTTGTTGTTAAAATCAAGAAAATCTTAGAAGGCAAAACTGAATACTATACAAAAACTGCAGTTGAGTTAAATTATTAGTGATGTCACTCCCGGAAGTACCAGTAATGGAGCTTTGGCTGTAAGAGCGAGGTCCTTCCTATACCATGGTGTTGCTATACACAAGAAACCAGAGACTACATGCAGCTTGAGACCCAACTGTGGAACAGGTGACTTTTTTTTCTTACATTTGAAGCCATCATGCTTTGTAGTCTAGGGTGGTTTCAAACTTTTATTCATTGAGACAAAGTCTCACATAGTGCAGGCTGGTCTCAACTTAGCTATGTAGCCGAGGGTGGCTCTTGCACAATCTGCTGAGCACTAGGACTACAGGTGTGCACCACCACACTTGGCTAACCCTGAACTCATTTTCCCGTCTCTCTCTACCTCTCTTAGGTGCTGGCATCACAGGCTTGAGTCACCGTGCCAGGCTCTGCAAGGACACTCTTGAGAGGAAGACAGCCAAAGTCTCTTTCCAAATCTAATTGGAATGGATGATTTTTAACCTTTTGTTTCTTTACTGTGGAAGATGATTTTGAGACTTCTGAAAGCTTTATTAATGTCAGGCAGCAAAGAGGAAGGACAAGGATCTTCCATCTATAGTCAGCAAGGAGCTGGAAGGAACACGCTGTGTATGTATCCCAGGCTAACTAGTTACTACTGTCCCAGGAAAGAGGCCATGGGATCGTCTGGCCTCTGCCGTTTCATTCTGTAGGCCTCCATTTCCTCTTCAGTGGGCTCCCGGGTTTCATATATGCTGTTGTAAGGCCGCTTCCGCTCATCAATCTGCATGATCTCCTTGACATGGAGAAGACGGGCCTCCT